CGGAGGTTGCAGCTCGACGAAGCCTAGCGACCACCACCGACGTCGACGACAACAACGACGAAGGTCTCCTCGCAGAAGTCACAATCCCTCGCTTCTCGCTCTTGTTCTCGTTTCTCTCCTCGCGTCGCGCAGCTCCTTCCTCCTCGACAAAATTTCGCGGTCGACCCACAGCGCGCATCAACAAGCAAGACGTCCCGGTGCGCCTCCACGGCGCCCTCCTCTCTGAAGCGAGCGAGATTCGATTCCCGAGTGGTATCAGAGGATTGATCCGCCAGCAGCAGAAATGATGCCCCTCATACTTCAAAGCAACGTTGAACAAAACCGTGACAACAAACACCGACCGATTCGATGTAATGAGTTCTTCGAGTGAAATAAACGGGAGATTCGCCACTGGAATTCCCGTCGGTCAATTACCCTACTGGCAACAAACCGTCACCGTCACAAACATGAGTCAAGCCCAACCCACTCCACACTCGGAGAATCTAGGTCGACGGAAAGGGGAAAGTCTCTCCACGCTCCCAACGCTTCCAGGCTCGACTTGAAGAACTAACGTTCTTCGAGCCGTCCCCGACTCTATACCCCTCGTGACCCGAACCCTATTTCCACGTCTAAATATAGTAAGTGCCTAAACTGCGTGAGCCGACTCGTAACTACATGACAAGTGTCTCTTGTACACTTAAGCATATGCATGTTGGTCATTCATGAGAAAGCATTTTCAAATCGTTTTTTTTTCACTATGTCTTTCTAACGGGTCACCATGTATTACCATGTCAACTCCTTTTGCATATGACTAGTACATACTTACCTTCTCCACCATTCCACCCTGTGTTCAAGTGTATCAAGAAGAATTCTCCAGCGACATTATCATTGATGGAGCAAACCGTCTCCATTTTCCAACTGACATATTACTTGAATTGGGATGGGTGTGTACCATGCTCACCATCGTGCAAAGCCATTCTACCTTATGAACATATATATGAACAACAATTATGTTCAATAAAATCTTTCCGGCATAATATAATATACTTTAGGTTTCTATGTAGGCGGTCATTGGTTTGGGTCGGGAAATAATTTGAAATACCATATCAAATTAAGCAGTGGAAGTCTAATGGATGTGAGATGATATATATCACTGTAGAGGTTGGGGCAAGTGATCTTGATCATTCTTCTCAAGAATATCTGTATGGAATGCTTATTAATATATACATAGATCCTAAAAACACCTTATATCCTTGTTAAGTTCGGTAAGGGTTAAGTGTCGTTAGGAAGTTCACCATACTTCCTCACCAAATGAATTTTAATAACCAATATATTATTCAAATTTACATAGTGATCATTCACTTACCATACTTTAAAAAATCTCAATGTAAAAATATATGTTGATTTATGAGGATATAAAAAGTTAAGTTAGGTTTGGTCAACTCTAGTTAGTCTAACCATCGTTAGTTAAATTAGTTAGCTAGCCATATATAAAAAAGATGATCGTAACTCTTCTAGGGTTATATTAAAATATTTGTATTTCTATGAACGTATACTCACTCAATGACACATACTTTTCAGTTTTCAGTAAAGTATTTGTATTATTGTGAACTTAGCCTCAATGAACCACATGATTATTTTAATGGTGATGTGATTCGCTTTTGCGTCGTGAATATTTGCGTTATAGACCTATAATGGGTATCAAAGCATAGAGACACTTCGGTGGAAACAAATGCGTATGAGTTTGTTAAAGCTAGTGAGTGAATATCATCCATCGCATCAACGGTGGTGAATGATATTTATTGGATCTTGGACGTCCAGATTTTTGAGCCAATTTTTGATAACTAAACACCATCCGAGGCATGTGACATTCATGACAAATGATTTTGCGTCCAGCTCAGCTTTTAACTGCTTTTTTTGTCTTGAGATGGAATTTTTCATACATGATCTAAGAAAAAGTCAATTTCTTGAATCATGCTCGTAATGACAACTTGTGTAGTGTACAATGAAGGTTTTGGGAGAGTCTAGTTATCACTCGGTTAGGGTTAATTAGCCCTCACTCTATCGGTAAATGTAGGGTTATAGGTTACTCAGATGGGTAGGATGTAGGGTATTCGACCAGTCACAAAATCGCATATATTAGATATATTAGGGTGAGGGCTAATTATTGGTAATTAGCCCTCCCCTGGTTTTTTTTCTTCAATACAACACATTATCTTCTATCGATAAAGGGTAATCAAGAATGATTACACCGGCAGTCTCCGTTATTGGTGGTTTTTGGTAGTCCATTATTTCAAAATGACTTCGCAGCCAATTAGTCATATAAACTTGAATAGCAAAGGTTTTGAGCCTCAAGATGAGAGACCAGACCATGATAATCATGAATGTTGTGTGTTAAAGCTAGAAGGACTACGGAAGATCAAACTGTTAAATAGTTCTTGCATATATATATGAGGTCAAGCCTCAACTCGCATCAAACAATTTGCAGGTTTTTTTTATTCGTAGATATAGTTCAATAGTGACGAAACAAATATATTTCTTGATTGTTATTATGTATTCTTGTGCATAATATGTTACAAGAATGACAGCGTGACATTGGATTATCTAGTTTGGATTTATCTTGTCTCCGTAATGAGATCACAAAGCACATAAATCTTCTAGAAGCTATATCATCTCCATAATGGAAAAGTCACATATAATTGGCCTATGTAGATATTCTAGGAGTTATTTAGTTTCCATAATGAGCTGATGACATGTCATTGATCTATGTAGATCTTTTAGAAGCAATATCAAATCTATAATGATTTGATGACATACCATCGGTTTATGTAGATATTTTGAACATTATCTACTATCCATAGTGAGGTGATTATATGTTATTGGTTTATCAAAATCTTTTACAAGTTATCTTGTCTCCATAATGATATGGTGACATGTCATTGATATCTCTACTTCTAAAAGCTATCTAATCTTTGTAATGAGTTGGTGACATTTCATTGGATTATGTGATTATTCTAGATCATAGTTCATCTCTATGAATGTGATGGCGATATGCTATTGGTCTATGTATTGTCTTCCATGATTCCTTTGTCTCTATGATCAGATGACATCATGTCAAGACCTTTTAATTACCTTATCCTTATAGTGAGATGACAATATATCATTGAACTATCTATTTTCTAAAAGGTATCTCATTCCAAAATGAGTTGTCAATATGTCATTGGTCTATCAAGATATTTAAGAAGCTATTTGATCTCCATTATAAGATGACATTATGCCAAGTTTATCTTGTACTTATAATGATGTGTCAATCTATTATTGGTCTATTGAGAACTTTTACAAGTTGACTCGGACAATAATGAAATGTCTACTTGTTATTGGATATATCTTCCACTCTTGAAACTTCTAGAAACTCAATATGTTACCAAGTCAAAATTGATACAAAATCCAATCAATCAAATTAGAAAATTTTAATCAAACCAATCAGTTAGTACAAGATAATCATTATAGATAATTAATTATTTGCTCCTGTTTCATAAGAGAATATTGATTGGCACATAATCTTTACAAATTGAAATATAATATTTTATAAACTGTCTGTTAGTAATCTGTTAGCAGTAAGGATGTTACAAGCCGCGCTCTTTAATGCTCAACTTCAAAATCTTAACCACGGGTGCTTAAATTTGAGGACCCTAGTGCTGGTGAACGGTGGTAACTGCGTAATGATCCGTTTCCTCTGAAATGTCTACCTACTAATGTAACAGATACATATTTAGTGACCTGGGAAGTGTCATGTTTAAATCTTACTGTGCAATGTGACAAGTCATCTCCGGCAACCTAACCGTTGAGATCATTTCATATGACTAGAGAAGTAGTGAATCGACATGGTAGTTTAATAAGAGCGGCTAGTTAAACCTAGGTTATGTTAATTATTCTTTACGATGGTAATTTAATCTAAGTAAAACGGTTCGTTATACTTAGGTTTATGATAATTATTTTTTATATTCTTTAACATAATAATTTAATATAGGAACGAATTAGTTATACTTTGGTTTATGTTAATTATTTTTATACTCCTTATCATTATCATGGTAGAGTAATAAAAGAGCCCCTACTTATATCTCGTTTTATATTAATTATACTTTATCCTGGCAATTTAATAAAATAGCCATTAGTTATAATTTGATTTATGTTAATTATCTTTTACATTTTTTATCATTACCATGATAGTTTAATAAAGTAACGGTTACTTGTACCTCAGTTATGTAAATTATTTTTAGTATTCTTTATTGGAACCAAAATAATTAATATAGAAAATTATTTCTCAATCTATACTAATTATACTCACCCTCACGCATGATTACCATAGTATTTAATGTGCATTAAATGTATTTTATCTTTAATTCTTATAGAGCGAGTCACTTGTGGTTTCGGCAGAAGCATGTCACCAGTTATTAACCACCACGTCCACTAACTCCATCCCAGATTTTTACTCGATGTCACCGGTTATCACCCACAACGTCCATAACTCCATCCCAGATTCTTACTCCATGTCACCAGTTATCACCCACAACGTCCATAACTCCATCCCAGATTCTTACTCCATGTCACCAGTTATCACCCACAACGTCCACTAACTCCATCCCAGATTCTTATTTCTAACGTCTACATTCTTCCATTGGATCAATATCGTATTTCAATCGTAATTAAACAAGAAGTGAATAATAATTAGCAAAAATTGAGTGATAACTAACCTCACTTTAATAAACAAGAAGTGAAGAATAATTAGCAAAAATTGAGTGATAACTAACCTCCCTTTAATAAACATAACACATCGAACGTGTCGAAAGATCAAGTAGAGACTAGAGGATGCATTTCCCCGGATCAGTAGGCGGAGTCCAGGGGAAGAAGGCGGTGACGTGTGACAAGGGGACGTGGCTGACGTCACAGAGGGCCGCTTTTAGTGCCGTTCAAGTTATCAGAGGCGCGAGCGGCCCGCCATCGATCGTTGCCGGCAGAGAGTTGAGAGAGTCATAGCGTCTATAAGTACGAGCTGGATGCACTAGTGGCGCACAGATTTCAGATTTTTGCGATTATTTTCTTGTGATGGACTCAGCTCATGTTGGTGGGTTTGCGAACTACAGCGCCGGAGGATTGACTTGCCCGTCTCATCCCAAACTTGTACGCGTGGACGAGGGCGACGAGAATGTTGTTGTCGATGCGTGGATTCCTCGTGGGGTTCATACCGGATCGCAGTCGAGTGAGAGTCAGTTGAGATCCCAGATTCCCCTCCAACCTGCCGGGGCTCGCGCTGCTGAGCCGAGCAACAAGCGGGCCAGACATGGAGTTGTCAAGAGAAGCGGAAAGAAATTCCTCAGGACAGGCCAATCCAAAGGCAGATCGTTGCTGATGTTCGGTACCAAGGCTCAAGACAAACCACGACCTGTAACTCAGTTTAGACGATCAGGTCCATCGTTTGATTTCCACTACGACGATTTGGATGTGAAGATATTACTTACTAAGTTTGAGCAGGTTCGAAAGCAGTACAGGAAGGAAAATAAGAAGGAAATGTCAGCTCTGAGGGATTTCTGTCGGGACTACTGGTATCTGTTTTGCAATGGCCGAGCGAGCATAGACGGGAAAGTGCCTGGCATCAAGGTCGGGCAGTGTTTTTATCTGAGAACTGAGCTTTTTCTAGTGGCTCTTCATCATCGGATACAAGCTGGCATCGACTACTTCCCTGTCTCGAAAAGCCCTGTCATGGCAGGAGGCGAGCGTGTGTCGGTAGCTGTTAGTGTGGTAGTGACAGGGAATTTTGAGGATGATGTGGATGAAGGCGAGAGGATTATGTATTGTGGCGAAGGAGGGAGGCCTTTTGAGGGAGTGGACAAGGGACAACAAACTCAGGATCAGACTCTAGTCAGGGGCAATCTTGCTCTGTACAATTCCTATAAGTTGGGTAGGTCCGTTCGAGTGATTCGTAAACATAGGGATGAGTCGAGTCCATCCGGATATATTTACTCGTATGATGGACTTTATAAGGTCAGCCAATCTTACAGGAAACGAGGAAAAAGCGGATTGTTCGTCTTTATGTTCGAGCTGAACCGACTGCCGAATCAAGGACAATTGAAGTGGTAGTCAGGACGGGTTCTAACTTGAGACTGTTGAAATGATTTGGAACATCATCTTCCAGATCGACGCCCTTCCGTGTTCAACACTTTTGAATGCGGTCGAAAATTTTGTTCAGTTTTAGCTGACTGATGGATACAAAGTTCTTCCAGGCACGCTTACAGAAATTCGAAGTTTGGACCACTTTGGCCTAGAAATCATCTTGTGAGTGCTTGTTGCCCACGAAAAGCGATTCGAGGGGCGATTCCTTGCACCGGGATGTGAGGAGATTGAAACCTGGAGCAAATAATACACGAGAGAAGTGCACAGCGAGAGCTGATGACAGCATCTTCGTACCCTTCATTTCATTTCAGCTTTCAAATATTCGATCGTTAAAGGTTGGCACTCCTTGATGGTCAACGTGACCGTTTGCTTCAGGTGAGCTTTAAAGGTTTTCACAGTTCTTTGAAATCCCCTGTCTTTCTTGTTCCTGAAGAGTAATTTGATAAGATGCTGATATGCGATGCCTTCATGTCTTCCGAGGACCATCTTGTGCATCGCGTTTTCTTCTGGTTGGCTGAACTGTTTTAATTTGAAACGGTACTCAATTTTTTTCATTTTGCCGGACAGCGTTGGCCTTAACGGGACGACGGGTTAATGTCAGCGAGGCCGATTCCAGGAGCTTGTTCACTCTCGGAGCAACAGACATTACAGTACGCATACACAGGGTTGGCTACACCATGTCAGTCAAGGCTCTCGACCAGCGAGTTCATGTGAGGTTTCAGGTGGTGCGTAAGTTGTCCAAGGTTTCCAATTTTGCTGTCATAGTCCAAATACAGATGGTGGACCTGTAAGCAGCTTCTGTGAAGGAGTGTGTATCTATAAAAAGTTCTGAGCCAGTGCAAGATACTGGTTGTCATGATTTTTGAAGTGTAATATGGAGTTCGATTTTATCATGACGCTGTCGTGTATAGGTATTGTGCATCCAGTCCGAACGCAAGGACCTGAACTTTGAACTACGTTTGTAACTTTTCCAATTCCTTTTTTGTGTTTTGGTCTCTGTGTTTGTGTGTTTCTCTGTTTTGGTCCAGCCTTGTGCAAGACTACACTCAGTCTCGGTGTTTCGGAAGATTGGCTTTTCTAGTGAGTCGTAAATGATGATGGAGTTGAGTTCGAGTACCATAAAAGGTCAATACTCTGTATTTACCCGATTCTGCGTTCTGGTCTGCTCAGGAAAAAAGTGGCGATGGTGGTAATGGATTGCGTTACACCACCATTAGCAGGGTTGATCAGAGTTTCAATTGGTGATATAATGCGTGATGATTGCCGTGATATTTGGCTGTAGTTTTGTGTAGAAAGGAATATTGTGTCATCGGGTGAGTTCTCGATGTGGAACTCACCGGATGAGACTATGGTATGTAGCAATATTCAGAGAACTGATTCAAAGTGAACAATTTCATTCGGTAGAAAGATGTACTTGAGAACAGGGGAATCTGCAGATTACACAGAAGCAGGAAATCGCATCACACAACTGATGCAGCTGAGTATGATTAATGGCTTGATCCAGTAAGATCGGTATAAACCTGCGCAAAACTCACTATGGCGAAATGCAAATCACGTTGATGGTAGTAAAGGTTTGGTTTGTGATATCTGTGCTGCGTCGATTGTTGTCCTCGTTTCAACAGTCTCCATCAACCCACTCGAGGAAACGTCGGTAGCAATAATAAACCCACTGTCACCCAACTTTGTACCACGCCTACACCACTGTCCGATAAACGAGCCAACCTCGTAACTTCAGAACACTCTTGTAGATTCATTGTACATCTGTACAGATTGAAAGTGTGTTCATATTCGTTCAATTGTTAGTTGACACACATTTGAGGTATGACATACATTTAAATGTTTCCAAGTGAAGGAGTAATCGTTTCATGACTCCCGTGTAAACTTGAGTACAAAGGATAGTGTAGGTAGAATTTCAAAACGAATGAATAAGCATTTAAAGTGTGTATCATAACCTGGAAATAATGGTGTGTCCCGGAGATGTTCCACCGACACTGAACAGGACAACTCTAGAAGCTAGATGAGCAAAATATCTTAGGCCATGTACATATGTATGTCTACTATGTAGAAAATATATTCTAATCACTGTACGATAGCTTTATAATATTTCTTATTGTTGCCGATATATTTTTCACGTGACATATACCACACTTGCCAACTTGTTAAAAAATAAAAGAAAATAATTTTAGTATTTGATTTCTTTCTTACTTTATTCATTATATAATCTTTGATGATATTGGCTGCGCAATATTTTGATACATGATATTACAAAAATCTTAAATAACTACTGCTTTTGAGTGTCTCTTGAGTAATGCAATCATCTTCAAATTTTTATAAGATTCTTCAATTTACTCCAGATAAAAGTGGATAATTCTAATACTAAAATTATAATGAATTCTTGGTTAATACCACGTAATCCGTGTGATTTGATTTCAACTAGTTAATTTGATTCTACAAGAAAATAATTTTTGTATACATTCTCTATCCTAACGGGATAGCATACTGAAAATATACTAAGTTTAGGGTTTTACTGTAGCAAATTCAATTCACGAGAGATTGTATAGATACTGAGACTTACATCTTTACTCTCCTTTGGTTTTTGAAATATCTATATAAACCATCTTACTATAAACCATCTATAGAAATCTAGTAATTGTAACTAATGATCTATACTCTCAATGTTTAATATATAAGCTGTTTGAATTGTTGATATTTTAGAATTTATTTTATTATGTAACTACATTATATATTTTTACAATTGTGAAACATAACATATTTAGGTATATTACGATGGTACCTTCACACAACTTTGTTGTTAGAATGCCGGAGCCTTTGGCTACAAAGTTTAAAAATATTTTTTATATGTCTATTATAACATTATATTTACTGAATGCAAACATAATTTTTAAAAACTCATTGCCAATTGCCTAAAGCCTTCAAAGTTTTTACTAGTTCCACATCACTTTTCTTGGTTGACACTCCCCTAAACAGAGAAGTAAAGATAGGAAGAAGAATATGTTGAACGAGCTTTCGCTTGGGTGAGGCATGGTTAATCCAACACGCTCTACCTGATACTGCACTTTAATCTTCGGGCTCCTATCGACATCAATCTTCAACCAATTCAAGTCTCAAGATGTGGATTTTAAATAATCCAAGTGCGATTGTGTGATGAATGCTCAAACTTCATACAATCTGTAGTGTTTCTCTACGGCCTTGGAATTTGAGGTCAATGATCTTAAACCGAGATGCGAAATTATCCGTATCCCGATAGTTGAAAATACGGTCTCAACTTGAAAATGAAAGAACTTGACCTACAAGATCGGAGGTGTAATGAAACTCTTATTTTGGTATAGCAATGTGGCCCCTACTCTTCAGAAAGAAAGGCAAAAATTGTTCTTCAAATCAAGCTAAACTTTTTCCAAACATATCAAGCATATCCGGCCGTTGTTTTTTTTCTTTCTCATCCAACCCAAGAAAATTCATACAGATTTTCTACGTTGACATACTCTCCATACATAAGATAATCTTCAAGATTCTTCCAGAACGCACCCTACAGCTATAACAAATACTGGAGCTGGATATTTGATACCTGTAGTGACCACCATCTTATCCAAAACTTCATGTCCAACGACTTCTCTTACACCATTGAAGACTTTCACTGCCATCTATGCTATGAAGCCTGCATAGCATAGATGGTAGGTTTAAACCAACCAACTTTCCAGTTATGTTGTTTCTGAGATTTTTACTTGATGGGAAAACAACTAAGTTACTGGGATTTAACGAATATCATACTACCAGATACGAAACGTCACACGTCACGCATGTGTTAATATCAATCGACGGTGATTTCTAACATAGACAGCCGATGGCGAGTCAGTTGGAGGAAAGAGCAGGAGTGAGGTGAGGCCGTTGCGGGTCGTTGCAAAATTTGTTGAACGAGTTACAAAGCACTTCAACTTGCAGGAATTAGACTAAGAAGGTACTACCGTACCAATGGATCATTTTGAAAAGATCACCAAAGTGTGCGCGGTAAATCGCGAAGGCGAACTTTCCGTGAATGTTGTTGATCTCTTGCGGAGACGATTGAAGGCACTATTGTATGAGCCCAAGAAATCGAGAGGTTAATAGTTTGATCACAATTCCGACTTATGGTGTGCATCGATGATGTGTGTGTATAATCTAAAAATGTGAGAAAAGCGGAGTAAAATGGAAATAAATGCCTGATTGCTCCACACCTCTTAGAGTACATCGGCATGAATCTCAAGAAGATTCAGCTGTATAAGGATTCTCCAAGTCTTTGATATGATTTAAATTAAGTTTTCTGAGTAGGTTATATCAACAAACATCTTCTGGTAATCAAGTTTAGTTCAATGGAATTTGATAGGTTGATTAGAAAGTCCGTATAAAATAAGTAAATTGCTTAATGGAACCCTTTGGAAACTCAATAGTCTTGAAAGGACCCAACAGGTTTCATTTCATTTTAGCCGATGGTACCACATTGGACGGCCACTGTAAGCCATGTTCTTATAACCTACTGCTTTGCTCTATAGAGTGGGAGTGTCCACCACTATCGGCCCAAATATTTTGGCCACTCGTTCGCACTCATGTCTAAGAAAACAAAGGGCACCATGGGTCTGAAGTAATCCAGATATGGTCTTGTCGTGATTTCAAGTTCTACTCGAAATAACCCCAAATAGTATTGGAACATCGCTGATTGTGGGGCTGCGGGCCGTCGATGGGTCCCATGAGGTAAAATGAAACCTGTTGGTCCAATCAAGTGTTTTGAGTTTCCCGGTTCCATCAAGGAATTTCCTCGTATGTTAGAGATGTTGTCACAAGAAATATTTGAATGTCAATAATTAAATTTGAAATTTTACTTGCATTAGTAATAAATTTCTTAAAATTAACGTATAATATACAAGTATTATCAATTTTAAGAAACATCAAATTTATTTTGTTCCATAAAATTTTGTTGGTTTATATGCTATAAAATATCATTGGATTTTTCATTTTAGCTGAAAACTCATGTTCTAAAAAAAAGCCATATCAAACTTGAAATGTTCAAACTATGAAATTCATAAATTATAAAAGATAAAAACATATTATTTAACGTATTGATACCATTGATATATTAATTCTATAAAATTTTTATCATTAATTGTAATAAAATAAATAGTTATAGCTTATAAAGAACTTTTATATACTTGTTTGTTTCAATGAATTGTTTGATGAAAGCAGTTGTGGCACATTCTTAGCTTTTTTCTGAATAAATTCAATAGAATTTTTTTAAAAAGATTTAGATTTTTTATTGTGAAATTTTTCTAAAACATATCTAATATTAAATGAAATAAGATGTTTTTATGAAGTATATGATATATTTGGATTTAATCTATCCAAAAAAATTTTATTTGAATTTATGTTTTTTTATGTTTACTTTATAATAGCATGCTTTCATCATTCACTAAACTTATGATGTAATAAAGTAGACAGAACTTCTTTATATTTATTCTTCTGTTGGCAAATAAGAAAAAATCTTTGAAATTCATTAGAATTTCTTTGATATTTTTAATAATCAAATAAATTATTAAAATATTTTCAAAACATTATCAACTTTCAGATGACTACATTGATTGTTTTTTTAATTTTTAGACAAGATCAACTTACATATATCCATATTATATTTAGTCTGAATATTTTGCTCCCATATATCACACCTCACACTTTTGTACTTCTAATGTGGAATGTTTTCATGAAATTTTGTATCTTTTTAGAACAAAGTTAATGTTGGATCAGTAATCATCTAAAATTTGCATTGTAATATTTTTTGATGCATTATATGCAACATAAAAGCATCAATAAGTATTTTACATATGAATTCATTGAGTAAAAAATGATAATATGATATAACAGTCTAATGTTTGAAAATTTTTACATTTTTAATTTGATTATCACCTTAAAAAAATTTGGTATTCGAGCAATGTGTGCAAAAATATAAATATAATAAAGAAAGCCAAAAAATAACTGACTCTTCAAGTGATTTTGTCACTTAGTGTTGTTCATTGTGAATGATTTATCTTTTATCACTCATCACTACACTGAGTACAGTAATTAGTCTGGACCAGACAAATTTTGAACATGAATTTTTGTGATGTCAATCATAGATTAGTCTGGACTAGACTATTTAGGAATCCAGACTATTTGTGTGCTTCAAAAAAAAATCTGGACCAAACTAATTAAAAATATTCCAAAATAGTATGGATCATAGAAATAAGTTCAGTAAACGCCAAGAGTGAAGTTTATTTTTGATCATGAGTATCCATCAATCTCCTCTCATTTTCAAATCGGGTATGATTTCTACATCAAAGTGGTTGCGATGTTTCATTATAATTGCCTGTAACTCCGGCGTTAATTGTTTGATATGCCATTCTCCTGTCACATCGAGTGCCAACCCACAACTAATCATGGCTTTTCGAGCATAGGTGAGGCCGTTAGCATCGCGTTGCATGTTTACATCCCTGATAGAATCCGCTGCCAACTGCAAAAAGAATCTTTTCCCCGGGTTCAACAGCTTGCCTGACCATCCGCCATCGCTGCGAACTCCATCGGACCACTGCTGTTTTCGGATCATCTCCATCTTCTTGCTCTCCCATCGTTTTGTCCAAGCATGCTTGATCTTGGAAATAACAAAAGAATCTGATGGCTTAATTTTGTCAGTAGCACATGAAGGGAAGAACCGAAGGGTTGTCTTGGTTCTAGTTAGCGCAACCGACAGCACATCTGATTCATTGTGACTTCCGCAATTGTAAAGGAATAATAACTTTTGTCTCCCGTAACGATCAGGTTGAAAAGCACATGGTTCAGAGAGCCATTGCAGGAATACCTGCATATCATTCCATCCTTTTGGCCCTGTGCGATAGCTTGCACCTCGCACATCATCTGATAAACCCTGAATCGGATAGAATCTATTCTTGTTTGTGAAGATGATCATCGGTGCCTCTATATGTGAGGATACTCCCTTTGTAATGCGGACCATCATGGTCATACACTCTCCTCTGGAAACAACATCAGCATATTTGACATCGTTGTCTCCCCGAATTCCTAGGGTCCGACCATTGTCAACATTCACCACGAAATGAATCTTGTCCATATTTTCAATAAGGTTTTCATCCAACTCACTAGATGAAAATCCTCTAAATAGTTCGCCCAAGTGGTACGTGATGGTCTTCTCAACATGAAGTTCTTTCTCTAGACTACACAGCAGCTTTCCTGTTTGAGCGCGCACGACCACGTTGTGTTTCGCCAAGAATGTTTGAACCCACCTTGTCGTAATTTTGTCAAGAATCAGTTTGCCGGCTATATCTCTGAAATCCGCATTAAATTCTCGATCATCTGATTTGATAATGTCTCTATCCAAAGTGCCAAGCACGGCTGTTGAGAATTTTAGCCATGTTTTTCGCAGTCGGTGGAACTCCTCATTGAGTTATATATACACATGAATTACCTAATCTTTTGTCGTACGACCACGACCTGCCACAGCTTTGAAATTCAATCTCGTAGCCTTGAACTGTTGATTCCTCTGCAAAGACTCGAGATGCTCACTGGCCTCTGAGTACTGGTCTTTCAGTTTCCACCATATGAAGCTTTTTGGATATTTGCCTTGTAGGATCCACTAAAAAGATGCGGAAAGTTTGCCGCTGCTTTGGCGAAAATATCCTTCTTGCCGTTGGAATCACATTCTTGCATCATCCAACGAACTACCACACGGCGACTTCCAATAGAAACCACTTGTTGTAGCTTTCTTTTTCGCTGCGTGTCTGCCTGAGAGAATTGCTCCTGATGAACTTCTTTCACAACCTCTTTCTGATCAGGCACTTCTTCCTGATAAACTGCACCTTCTTCTGGATTAACGATCTCGATCCGAGAGGCTTGAGAGCGAATGAAACCAGCTATAATAGGAGAGGACGAAAAACTCAACATCGTGAAAAGAGTGAAAAGCGCAAAAGTGAAGGGCAGGTGGAGCGTTGGACTATCGCCTATGAGTCTTAAGTGCAAAATACACGTGGTGCTACTTGTTACTCATGCAAATTATATTACAGATAGAAACATGTATTAGTTTGGACTTTTATTTATACATCCAGACTATTTGCCAATCCAAAGTAATTACTCACTATAATCTCAAGCATTTTTGGCCTGGAACTTCAACTAGTACATGTAAATCATATTCCACAAGCAAACAATATTATATGTGTAATATATAATAATCACATTCAAATTCAACTAAAAATCATATCTTTATCTTGTAATTTTAATTTTATGCTTACAATTTCACTTAAAATAGTAATAGTTTTAATATTTTATTATATAAATTTACAATGTGATTGTTAGTCTATAACTGATTTAAATTTAAAACTGAATATTTTATTGTTTCAAATTGATAAGATTACTCCCTTTTTTCGCAGATAAGAAATATCATTCATTGATCATGATAGATATTTATACTTAAATATACAACTTTATAATTCTATAAAAAGATGATAGATGCTTATTAATTTTTATACACATATATTCACATCAATACATGCATGATTATCACATCTCAAAATGTACATGTTATTGTGATAGTTCTTATTTTTTAAAAATCACAAACATAGCTTAGTAGATGTCAAAACTAGTGGTTTATAGTTTGCAATGTTAAGTAATAAATATTACTTATGTGTCAATATTGGATGTACTTTTAGATCTTAAGTTACTCCATTTGAATAGTTAATACCTAATTGTAAACTATCACCAGCTTTCACTATCATACAAGTGGAAATGTGAATTTTTCAAGAAATAATTATGATAATCTCACTGAAGATTTATGTTTTTACACAAACAGAGGCTTATAATATGAAGCACATATTAGCTTGCATAAATTCCTTTTTGTCACATGTAACTGAATTACAGTGAAATTGGTGGATTATTTAGGTTGAAAGAATCAAAATTCATTCAATAATACATTTATTAACAAAAAACATAAAACATTGTTGTTCATTATGACTTTTAAATATTTCATATATTATGCAATTATTTGATGAATTTACAAAATCTCTTAAATGTTGATATATTATTTACATATAATTATTAATGTCTTGTAAAATTTGAAAGATCTTTTATCTCAAAACAATCAACTATCTCTTGATTTGTTTACCGAAATACGTTCATTCGCGTTAAGTGCTGTTGATTGTACAACTAATTTTCTCCTTATCTTAATGATTGGTTAGAACTTATATAAAATTTAAAAGAAAAGTAGTTTTGAATAATATTATGCCGACGGTCTCATTCTTGACTGTTGGATCGTTCATGAACTAAGTGGAAGAAGTACAACCTTGATTAATACGCACTTCACGAATGTGTCTTGAAGGTCAGGCGTGCCCATCCATCACAGAGATTCATGGACATCAACGGAAGTCACAGTTCGTACTCAACGAGTACAAACTGTGAGTCATGCATGCTTGCAGTGGAGGTGAGAACCTTCATCGGACGGCGTACCAGGCTTCACCGATTGAACGATTGGCTTTCACGGCACTCACGATCAGACACAGACACGGACATAGTATATTGTCTTGCAAGACTGTTGAAAGAAGAAGCTGGGCTGGACCTGGCAGACAAGCATTTGGGAAGGGCGGGTCTTTCAAGCGACCTTCCCAAATGATGACTGGCGTTCAACTCGGTCTGTATCGTTGTCAGTCGTTGCGTCGCTCTCTGAGCCCTGAGCCCTGTTTGTTGATTCACGTGCTGAAAATGTTGCCACAACCTCAAGGCTTCTCGTTCAGGCATTGACTGCCGTGCAGCATAGTCCCGTGAAAGGCTTACTCGCTGCTCTCAGGATGGCTTCCACCAACCCTGTTCGGACTAGAACAAGCTCCTGAGACAACGTTGGGCAGCGGGAATCAATGGCTGAGCGACGGTCACAGGGAAGGAAGGAATATCGAGACTTACGGTGGCTATGATTTCAGAAAGATCCGGGTCTAATACGGGACTGAAGTCGCTCTGACCCTCAATCTTAAAATTACTCTTTTTTGGTGTCGGCGCAACTTGAGCGGTTCCTACAGGATCGCTAGTCCAGCCTATAATGTCGCAGAACATTTGTCCTCTTTTGTGGTGCAACTTCTCTTCCTCTATTCTGTCGAATATGTTGAGGAATCACGGAAATGGACGCACTGTCTGTTTACAGTGAGAGAATTAAAATGTTTCAACCATTCGAGATTCGCTAGCTCGTCGGTCGCACAGAACTGCTCACGCATGGCTCTTTGGGGTGGCCGAAACCATACTTAAAGAGCTGATTTGCGGAGCTTCACAGGCTGAGGGCGGGCGTTGCAACTTCCGACTGTCTCGAGATCGCATTTCTGTTTTCAAGTCCCACCCGAAGGATTGGATTTTAGCGATTTGGATGTGATAATAAATCTATCGGAAGTTCAACAGCCCGTCCTCTGTCGATGCCATCATCTCCGGAAAAGAAAACGAGCTCTTGGATCGTTATCTGCAGGTTGCTGAAGGGATGAAATTATATTCCCCTGAGGAAGTTTGCTGGTCACGGTTCGGCGGAAGGAGGCTGGAGATCGAACTATCAGCTAACATGAGCGATCTGCTGCACAGGAAGAGCGGAGAATGTAGCTGCAGCCAACAAGAAGACATTGGAGAAGTTCGTCGGAAAGAACCGTAATTTGCAAGCAGGTGATTCTTGGGTCTCGGTCAGCCGCGTTTTATCTCCTCCATAGACCTCGGGCAAGTCTTCATCAAAGGATCAAGAGAATCTATACGGGGGTGCCATAACTCTATCTAGTCTGGTTCATAGTATGGCCGGCTGTCAAATCTAGCTACGCATATATCTCGATTATTCATCGTACCCTTCAAGTCTTACCGTTTAAACAGGCAGTAATCGCAGCAGGAGCCTGCAAATTCTTATCTTCCTTGATGAGTCCATCACACGTATCTACGACCATCTTCGTAAGTTTTGCCGTTGTCGTCGGTTGCGTATGCATTTTCATCGTCATAAGAGGAATTTTTCCTCTGCCGGACTACAGCTCTCAGTCTGAATCCGGAGGAGCCATTCCTGAACCAAGTGAGCATAATACTGGAGATCTTGAAGAAGAAAGTGTAGGAGGGGCTGATGATGGTGCTCATGGAGAAGCAGGAGCTGATTCCGGTGGTACCCTTCGAGGAGATGGAGGGGGAGTAGTAGGAGATGGCTCTGGTGGTGGTGGTGCTGCTGCTGTCAATTCATGAATTGAAGAAATAACGCATTTAGAGTTTCCAACATTGTCTATCTTGCATTGAGAACTGGAACCTGTACAAGATGCTTTATTATAGGGAGAGGTACACGATGAGAGCACAAGTCCCGATGCTGACAACTCAAAACGGACTCCACACCAGCAGTCCCACCGATTATAGAAGACCTCAATGTTGTGTATATGAAGGGCAGCAGTCCCTTTCCCTTAAAGCTCCCACCTTCCACAATGATGAAGTACCTAGACTCTTGATAGTTGATGTACCTAGACACTTTAACTACCTCCATGTCTCCATTGTCCATCAACATTTGGGAACGAGTTGAAGCAGCTTTGCCACCGAGTATCTAAATTCCTCTGAACGTTTAGACTGATTACCGAAATGTTACCCTGAGGAATCTTCATCATCCGTATCAACTATCGCGCTCTTATGGATTTTGCAGGTTTGTAGTTTATCCACTGATTTTGTAGCTCATGAACTGAGAGGACAATACCCCGCAATCTTCAGCCACCAGGCTCTTCGCACAAAAGCTTGCGGCTGATCGGTTTCCTACCTTTCACCAGCTACTGTGTTCATTCTTAAGTTACATGTCTTGAAAGAAAGAATTTACATCCAGCTTCCAAGTGAATTGTTTTTGTGATCTTAAGGAAGCTCTGCAACAAGTACCAGAGACGGCCTGAAGCCAATTCCACCCGATCTTGTTCTTACCAGGCCCTTAATTACCTCCTCTTCTGTTCTAAGCCGTGCTCGCCTCTGACTATCATGTGCATCCGTGTTGACCTTCAAATTTAGTGCATCGTTCTAAATCCATATGAGGAGCAAAGAGATTGAAATTAAAAACCTAAATTGTCCTTCAGATGGGCACTTGATCTCCTTCCTGGGCATGGTGCGAGAAAAATGAGCAAACAATCTTCCTGTTTCGACGTCGGGCTACCGTACACCCTTTACAAGCACTTCTATCAGATGCAAAATTAATTCTTTAGTGTATCCTAAGGATCAAGCCACGCGCACAAACGTGAAATTGGTTTACCCGAATGTCTGCATTGTAAACGATATGCTTGTGACTCTTGTGCTTCAGAATACACAATTTGAATCGCTGTCAGCAGACCAGTACAGCCAAAGTCTGGAGGACGTTGGGCCACGCTTTTGTGATGTAAATGCGCAATGGTCTCGGATGTTGTGCCTGATAACCATGATCCAAGTCCTCGACGAATCAAGACCAGATGACATCTGGACAGAGCGATTCTCTGAACTCAGTGCTGCATGACAGCACAAGCTCGGCTAGGCGAAAGTACTGGTTGGACTAGAGCAAGATCAGTGACTTTTTTCTGTCCATATCTCGGTAAGAGGGCTCTTCGAGAAACCGAGATGAGCTACAGTCGAGTTTACTCATGACACCGATTAAGAATCCAGTTCTCTGGGCCTTACATGCAAGCGTTCGAAACAAACCTATGATTCTATTCTGAACAAGTTCTCGAGGGAGCGTTCACGCATCTTTCCGAACTGCTCAGTAAACTGTAATATAGAAGCTTCTCGGGCCTACTTCGATCCTTCTGTCCAACCTTTAATCTCATTTTATTGCCTGACAATTCTCCGTCCATGCATATCAGAAATGCATCTTCAAGGGTCAAGTGATTTACTTCTCGTCCCCAACCCTTTAAGCGTGCGCTTGCCTACTTAACGTCAATGTAAGCATAGTTTGACGTTCATTGTCACGTCAAAGAAGGGCGGGCGGGGTGAATTAGTCTTCTGGTTTTACAGCAAGATTCGCTTGAATGTAGGGCTTTCAATCCCGGGCACTACATGCAATTATCCGAGGTTAATAACGCAAAGTTGTGTTTACAACAAAAATTGGAAAGTGTTTGTAATGTAGCTCATGCCCAGATTCCGACTGAGTTTAAAGGTTTCCAAACACGAGGAGAACATACAGGCTCAACTGTGAGAAGTTGTGGTATAAATCTCTATGGCTATGCTCATTTTCAATGTAGATCTCGATTCGCAGGCCGGATGACGATCGTTCTACTTGGTTACTGGTCTATATAGAATAGAAACCAATCAGACGCTACCCGTGCCTGCTGCGTCAAAGAAACAAGCCAAATATGTGGAAAAATCAGCAAAGTTGTCCATGAGTTTTTGACCAGCTGTAGAACGGAAAAAATTAGCGTGTCACGGGTAAACTGAAGGCATTTCTCTGAAGAAGGGCGGCACTGGAACACTACGCGCAGCTGAGGCATGGGGTTTTGGAGATGACAGGAAAGCATGGACCAATCCATCCTGCATCTGCAAAGCCATCGCTAACAAGTCATATTCATGTTGTATCTGCAGTGATTTCTTGCTGATATCAGTTGAAAAAAGGCAGCAAGTAAGCCAAACTCGAGGCTTACAGTATGTTCCAAGGGTGTCTTCAAACGAGGGAAGCTTGGGAGCCGCGGTTCGAGAGGAGAAAAAGCTCAGAATGTCCGGAGAACTGCTCGCATCCATTGTTCAGGGGTTGCTATACGAGACCTTGAGACCCGAAGTGTGCAGGAAATGCTCGATCATACTCACATTTTCGAGGTCGCTGTTTTGCGATTTCGATTTCGGGATTTATGTGCAGATATAGATCACTTAAAAGTGGACTGATGACATCTAAATGCGCGCTGAAGGCTCTTGAGCGTAGGGAAGTATGAAGAAGCAGAATTATATCGCAAAGTGGTAATTGGGTTCCAAAATGCATGCGCTTCCCCTACACTCATTGCTTCGAAACGTCGGAGGTCAAATAGAGCTGCGAGTTGGATGATTTTGAAATCGTGGGATCCCACTTCCTGGAAAGACTTCTAATGATACTGGAACATTGGAGTGAACTGTTGGCAGCAGTGCAGCCAATTTCTCTCGCACCTGTGTATCGCAGACGCGCCGTGTCCTCTCCATTCCACGATCATCTCACCAATCACAGCAGTGGGCACTAAGTAGATGTCTTTGCGCTCTTTGACCGAGTTGATGGGGGTTAATCTATGACCAGAAGACGAAAGACCTCTCTTTAGTCAAGGCATGGCACGCTAAGTCCATGCCTTGACCGTTTTGCGCTCGAGGCAATCGGATGCGATGTAATCCTGCAACTTTCTTAGCAACTGGAGCATGGTACTTGAGGTACTTAGGCAATTGTAATCGCGCGGATGCCGAACTCCAAGAGCTTTGCTTGATTGACTGCACCGTGGGGGCCTTGCACTTTCTGGATGTCTGAGTGTCCCTCAAGAGGACGCCAGCTGTGGCGGTCTTTCACGATGGCCCTGATTCCGTCGACTGTTGCATCGGCTTTGACTAGGCAAGCCCTGAGCCCTGTTATCCGAATCGTACACATGATGGCTTCCGGCTATGGAGTAATCCTCAATCCCACGATGAGGATTGGAAAACTTGTGGTCCAAGACCACTTCCTCCAGTCTTGGATCGGAAAACACGGTCACGAGGAGCACAAGCTGTCTCAGGTCTCCTGGGTTTTTCCGCGCATCTAGGACAAGCCTATATAATGATCGAGGCAAGGAACACCATCTGTCATAGGCGCTATACTCGAGATAATCTCCGGAGCAAGAATGCAAATTTGATGGTCTCTTCACTGAGCTTCATAGAGGTTCAATCTTTGGTTTGATAGTCGAGTATAATTCCATCGACGGTGTCTAGATTCACTAGTTCATCGCTCGTCTGAAGTTTAAAACTCAAAGGCTCGTGAGATCTGCGCACTGAAGATATCGAGCAGATTTCTATTGGCGAACACCGAGCAGCGATCAAGAATAAGCTCGATCGGATCGAACGAACTCGCTAATCTGCAGCAGTTCCAGCGGGGGGTTCACACGAGCTGCGATTCAGCTGGTCCCCCATACAGCCTTCAACGGTCTGTCCGACGCGCATACGTAGCGTATCCCCTACGCCTCACGACTTCCTCTCACCCTCCGACGCCGACTGTTTAAAAATCGGCAGAGCATGCGAAACGTGCTAGACCTCGCCATTCCTCATCATGGATGGCTTTATCTGGGTGCCGTTATTAATATTATTTGGCGGTGGAGCGCTGTTCATTCTCATCGCGTGCATCTGCATCTGCATCTGCAGACTCTCATCTCTCGGCGCACATAACTCCGGCGCACATAACTCCGGCACTGGTGCTCCGATTATCGGAGGATCTGTAGCTTTTGCCACTACAGGTGGTGGAATCGGAGGAGGCGGAGGAGGAGATTCTGGAGGAGGCGGAGGAGGTTGTGGTGGAGGTTGTGGAGGTGGATGAGGGGGAGGAGGCTGCTGATTCTGGCCTCTCAGCATTGTGTTTACAGTACTGCATTCAAAACTAGTGCGATCCCGACTCCGTCGATTGAGTGCGAATGGCTTTCACGTCCACCACCCAAATCAACTCTAATTGCACGTCGTACAATGATATCAGACCGAGCCATTGTAGCTAGCCATTGTAGGGTCTGCTGATTGAATTGCGGTCCCAAAACAGGTGTAAATGCTCTCTGCCCAATTCCAGATTGTCGCCAATTCGAGGTTTTGCTTAGAAACAATGTACAGATTCTTTCTTCAGAAGCCCTGCTCTTATCCAGACCATGCCACTGCGTTGTCGAGGTTCTTCTAGGTTTCATTGTTTATTCAGACATTGATTCAGGATTTTTCTAGACTCAGCTCGCCATGATGGCCTGTAAATAATTACAGGCCATCATGGCGAATGCTAGTCAATCTTTCACGATGACACTCGGTGCCTTTTAAGTTATGGATCATTCCAAAGTGAATCGCAGTGTTTAATGTGATCGTGTGACAGCCTCATGAAGACTGAAGGCACCAAGTCAATTCCACGAACAATGTGAGGACAGACTTGTGAAATACTTGTACGTCGACGCTCAAATACGCACAAAATTGAATTACAGATCAATGGGACGGCCTTAAGAGGGGCTCAATTAGAATTGAATATCATAGAAGAGATAGTTTGAATTTCGGGTTTAGGAATTTCATCTCATCTGATCTGAAGTAGTAAGTTTCAACTCTGGATCTTCGAGACGATGGCGCAGACCTATGGTAGATCAGTCTCTTTTGGGTGTTCGTCACATGTTCCTATGATCACTTTGACGTTGTCGAGATATCGATAGAGGGGACAAACAAATGCGTCTTGACAGCTTTTTGAGTTCTTGTGTCTCTTGACTAAAATTTGTCTGCGTACGCAACCAGTGAATAATTTTCGTAATTGACTAAAGTAATCCGTTAGTGAAATATTCCACTTCATCCTGAGATTATCCGAACGTAGCAGTCATTCAACTTCAACTCGGGCAATCATTGACATTCACTTTCCTCTTATGATGATCTATCTTCAACCAAAAAAGGATAGTGCAGAACTTTTAATTCCATTGGTCTTGTAGGACGCATCCCATAAATCAGATATAAGTTATATCTGATTCCGTAGACGGTTATATCATATAACCGTTTACGGAAGTGAAGCCCACTCTCATCTGTTACCTTCTTACTGAGCTAGAAGTGAACATGGTTATGTTCACTACTAAGAGTATGAAGACCTAGTAGACAGACTTGAGACAAATTCTAATTGTTGAGTGAGAATGTTATCATTGATCGTGAAGCTGTACAGACAGCAGTGTCGGGCTTTCATCACGTGGGTTTTCATTTCCTCTTGATGATTCGATCGAGTCATGTATCAGTAACTCGATCGCATCATCTCAAAGAAACTCTGCCCGTTTTATCTTTGAAGATGTCTCTTACAGTTACTGGACGTGGACGGTAGACAGGTTGTTGGGCTATTGCCTCAGAGCTCATATTCAATTTCGGAGCAGTGCAGATACGGCACATACGACAAAACAAAGACTCCCATACATATGATCAAAATCCGAATTCCTTCACGAACAATCCGAAAGTTCCTGGCAGTGATCATCATGCGTAAATCAACGTCCATATTTTACCACTGGAGAAGAGAATTCAACTCCTGGTCCCGAACGACAAGGAATTGGAACATTTTCGATCGTGGTGATCGGAGATGAGGTTGTTTTCCAGGCATCAGGTGACTCAGCAACTGGGCACACCTAATGTAGCCCTATAAGTTGCAAATACTCTTCTTCCCAAGCATATAGCTTCTATAGCTCAGTTGGCTAGAGCACCCGTTTAGTAAGCGGGAGGTCCTGAGTTCAACTCTCAGTGGAAGCAAAGGTAGGCCTCTATAGCACAGTGGTAGTGCGTTCCCTTCGTAAGGGAAAGGTCGTGAGTTCGATCCTCACTGGAGGCAGGGTCTCTTTTGTTGGGATCCCTTTTACTGCGTGGGACTTTGACTTACCCAAAATAACTTCTTATCCAAACATAAAGATTTATTTTTGCAATAGTTTGTGCAATTTCGGCCATTGAATATCTCATTCACTGTTTCCGAATCGACTTTTATTTTCATCATTTTTTACTTTACGAATATATTTTTTAAAGAACTTGGTGACTGGATTGCCAAAGCTTCTTTGATATAACACGTAACATCGAGCATGTGAGTTGTATTCTATATGCAAATCCAGTAGCACCTTGCATTATCTCTGCCCTATTTAGGATTTCCAAAACTTTTTGATAGTTACTTCACTAACATCGGACTTGCGCGCTAGAGCCCTTACAACGAGAGCATCTGCCTTCCTATGATATCGCACTGTTGAAACTCATTGAGTAATTTTCCGTTGGTTTTCTTTGACATTGCAGCAGAACCAAATGGTTAAGAAGTGATTCTTCTAACGCAGTCACCCATCGGCTAAGTCCGCACTATTCTTCCAGGTTCAAGTTAAGTACTTAAGTGGGAGATTACTGGAATTGTTGCTGCTTCTCTATATTACAAAATAGTCTCTATGGGCTCGTTCTTTGTGGTTTCAAATACATTAGAAATAAATGTAGCCAGTGAAAAGGTCCTTGCGATGTGATTACACTCTCGAAGCTCCCTTTTCAGCAGTATATGTGTTTCAAGGAAGCGAGATTTCAAATATTATTTCAAGTCTCTCATATGGCACCCCATAAACATCTATATATTATTGGATTTCACATTCCAAAAACATAAGATTTCTTAAGTATATGTATACACTTATCAAATCATTACAAGTGTATTGACCATGGCCACAATACAAGGTCGATGTCTTCCCCTCCATGAATAAATGGGTGGAAAGGCCTTAAAAAACTATACATTTATCTTAGAGTGCAAAACTGAGGCCCAATTTAACTGGACTGGAGATTTCCCTGAAAATTTGAGATTAACTCTTGAGTCAAGCATGATCAACCATAAATCCTATACTATAGCATACACATCTTTAGTGTCACCATACATAGTTATTTGTACCTCCAATTACTAGTCAGTTATATAAAGAATGTTTTATCTAAGATAATATTATCTCAAATGTCATTGTAAATTTATGTATTGAAGCAACGACCGCGACGACGGCAGCCCGCAACGAACATGACTCCGGCAGCAGCGAAGTAATCGCTATAGAAACAAATTCAGGTACACTCTGATAGCAACTGCATTGAATTAGCAAATTTCGCTCTAACTAAACATGTAACAGAGTAGACATTCATAATGCGTGGTTGATTTGCGAGTAAATTTCTCTCCAATTTATATCATAGAAAATTTTGACCAGCTTTTTTATAAAACACAACCTAACTATTTTTACAAGCATATTAGTCTACTCTGAGTATTAACATTTGAGCACATTAATGTTATAAATCCAAAATATGATATTAAAATAAAGGAAATAAATTCTTCTAAAAATTGGCCAAAAAATAAAATATTATCTATTTCTACAAAAAATGTATATCCAAATTATATTAAACAAATTGATATTGTAAATATAAAGAAAAAAGAAATCAATATATGAAATCAATCTCATATATAGTAGATTTCATGACTTTCAAATGTTCAAAATTCTTTTCGATTATAATTTTTGTTATGCTTGAGCTTGAGAATTTTCGATAAAGCTAAATTTGTCTACTGAAAGATCTAACTGAATCAAATCTTTCAATAGAAGTCTGAATATAACTAGTGTTCATGATATTTTTTGAATATTTCGATCTAAATTAAAAAATATTCAACCTCTTTTTGGTAAAAAGAAATTCTAATCGTTCATGAAAATTGCTGATCATTTCTAATAAAATAATTTTATATTTAATTAGAGGATTAATTACTTTATTTCATCTTCCTATTAAATTTTTATGAGTTTTATTTTTACTTCAAAAAATTAAAAAACTTTACACAGTTTTGAATTTTTTCATAATTTGAAAACAATTTTCAGATTTTTTGAAATAAATATTTTTTAATGCATATACATAAGAATATTTTTTAATTCAATGATTTTTTATTACGTTTTGAGATAAAGTTTATGCGTATATTATAAAATACACAACATTTGAAACAAATTTCATTAAGTACATATCATAACACATTAAATAGAATTTATTTTTATTATTGATGATATTTTATAATTGTTAATTTTATGACTTAATGATAATTTTTCAATCGATTAATCGGTTTGTGATGATTAAAAATAGACAAACATGCAAATTTGACACGGTGTACGCTTTTGGCTATTCCACGTGAAAACACCAGTTTACTCAAATTGAAACCGATACAATGATAAGGGGCAAGTTAGTAGCCAGAATCGAATCTAACCCAAACCCACGTCTTCCAGTAAACCAGCCAAAACCCTACAGTGGTCAAGAGTTATCCCTAGCAAAGTACACCAAAATCTATATTTAGTTTATAAGACAATACAATGTTAGAAATTTATTTTTAAAAAATTATATAAGTAGTACAAATTCTATAAGATTAATATTTTAGTAAACATCACTGCGTTTTGATAAACTCAAAGTGAACCAACATGTTATTAGGATAAGCACATAGAGTTATACAAATTTCACAAGATAAAATCACAACATCAAAGCAAAACAATATTAAAATAACATGACTGAAAACGACGCTTCATGGATCTCTTAGCACGTACATAAGCACAATCTTCAGAAAGTCCAGCTAAAATGAAAGCCCTATAAGAATGTCAATATTAAAGAAAATATGGTTTTGAAATCTATTCTTCAGTAAATGAAAAAAAGAGAAGAAAATGCTAGAAATGAAATGGCACTCCTCGGACAGTGGAAAAAGAGAAATATCATTCAAATGAAAAAAAGAAAATTACTATTATCTTCATATATTGTTCACTGAAAATTGGAAATCCAAAGCCTAGAACAATATATTAAAATCTGGCCTTCCACCCCGCTCCACTCGCTCCGTTGTCCCCCGCCGTCGTCAACGAAGGTCAGCTGCTCCGGAATCGGGACGGACGAGCGGGCGGGTTCAGCACAAACCACAAACCAGCAAGACGCTGAATACCAGAGGTGTGAACCCGGCCATTTGTGACCTTCCAAGTCGAAGTTGGAAGGTCACATTTGTCGTCGTCTGGGCAGCTTCGGCCTCGAGGAGACTCGGCAGGGAATCTCTCAGGACCGAAGCTGGGAGGAAGGGGAACGAGGAGAAAGTGAAGGCATTGGTGTGTCTTATCTTCCACCCGAGAATCGCGGGGTCGATGCGATCGAATCTGGTGTCTTTCCCGCATTGCTACGCAACGTCGTCTTCGTCCCCGAGCCGCGGCCGAAGAAAGCGAATCGAAGGTGGCGGTGGGGCACTCACTCACTGCTCGGCCTTCAAAGGATCATCAGCCTATCCGGTCTGCGAAACCGAGAGCGCAAGCAAAGCAAAGCAAGCGAGCAGGAAGAGTTGGGCTGTCCCCAGGTCCGCGCGATGGCACCTTTCGCGGTCGTGTGATCATGCACCCCACGAGTTTCGATCTGCAGATGGTCCAATGAGCTGTTCCATGAAGAGTTCCGCATTTCTGCCCACTTTTATATTGGATGCAGCTGTTGCCGCGGGGTCGGAGGCTTCTTCAACGGTCATGCTGCGAGCTTCCGGTGGACTTCGGCGACCGAATTTCAGCACATGGTTGCGATTTTCTTTTCCTCCTCGAAGGAACCATTTGCCAGCTTGCATTAGTCGCATCAGCCTCGGCAGAAGCAGGGAGAGCTGGGATCGGACTCCCCCCGCCCCCGGTTTAAGATCCACTTCGCTCATCTTCTAGATGTGTCAGCTGACAACCGCAGCAGATGTGAGGTTCTCGTTCTCTTCCAAGAAAGGGAACAGAATCGCAAGCGCCTTGGGGACAAATCGAACGATTGACTGAGCGAGTGAATGCGTGAAACTGCGAGTAGCTCTGTCTCCACGACTCGACTTAGGCATATGCGTGAGACTAGAGAGACCAGAGGCCAGCTGTAGGAACCGGTTCCGAGATCGATCAAGAAAGGGCAAGGCTCGTGAAGCAGAAAATTGGGACAGTAGACGAGGAAATGATCTCGTAGGGGAGTCGACTTGAAGGTTCTTCCGAGATGGGGCTGACGATTTCGAGGGTGTTTCGGAGCCTCTTCTTCTTCGCGAGGCTAATTAAGAAGGAGATGCGAATTTTGATTGTGGGGCTGGATGGGGCCGGGAAGACCACAATCCTGTACAGGATGAAGCTATCACAGGTCGTCGACGCGATTCCGACCATCGGATTCAATGTCGAGACCGTCGAGTATAAGAATATCAGTTTCACGGTGTGGGATGTCGGAGGCTCGGCCGGCAGGCGGCAGTTCTGGCGGCACTACTACGCGAACACGCAGGCGGTGATCTACGTCGTGGACAGCGGCGACAGGCTCCGTCAGGCCGAGGCCTGTCACGAGCTGCACAGCATGTTGCAAGAGGAGGAGCTTCGCGGCGCAGCGCTGCTGGTGTTCGCCAACAAGCAGGATCTGCCCGGGTCCATGAAAGAACCCGAGGAGTTCGAGGAGGCGCTTGATCTCGCGGCCTTGCGCGAGAAGAGGCCCCTGCATCTCCAGAGGGCGTCCGCTGTGACCGGCGAGGGCCTTCTCGAGGGTCTGGAATGGTTGTTCATCACTCTCACGAACAAATCCATCAAGTCCTGATCAATCCATCCATCCAACCTCTCTCGTGGCTCTCTCGCTCGCTCGATCGATTGATTGATCGGTCGACAGTCTCTCCGGAACCTACTGAGGCTCTACGGCACTTCTATCCAGCAAGAGCCTGTACAGATTTCCGCCTCGATTCAGTGGCTAGGGGCACATTCTGGTCGGCAGGCGCAGTAACTTCACCACCACGGAACGCAAGAGTTTGTGCGAAGGCGCTGGCGAACGACCGAATGGAGAACTCGTCGTGAGCTGACAGGGGGGACGACATTCTCACGACGATGACGTGGGCCTCGACGAAAGCCCGAAAACACCACGTGTACATACATTCATCATCACCCGGGGCTTCCTAAGGACAACATATCTCTAAAATTCATGTAAAGTTCGGAGGAAAGTTTAGTCGACGGATTCTGGAAACTCTTTCCAGAATCCGCTCTTCCAAAGCCGCAATACCAAAACCTATAGACCCCCCTCCCCCGTTCACATACCCGCAAGAAGCGGAAACCAAAACAGCAATGCAAAATTACACTCACTACCTACAGACTCCAAATCTCCGCTCGTTTCAGCGTACTGTCACACGACCGAAGCCGATCGACGATATCCTGTGTCCAGTAATGTGTACGGAAATTCGATCCTGTCGCTGCTGATTTCTGATCTCGAAGCCGAACCACGTCCATCATCCGACCAGGCTTTGCGCACCAGATTTCGGTGGTCTACTGAAAGTACTGCGTTGATCACCGACCGAGGCACACGATGAACTTCGTACCCGAGTAAGTGCAGCTGTCAGGCTGCGCGTCACTGCTTCTTTTGGGAGATGAACGAATTCACTAGTGGGAGCAGGCTCGGAACTTTCCAGTTATGAGGATTCCCGGAGTGTGGCAGAGCTGGCGTACAGCGAACGCCAACTATGGTTTGCAGTTCTGGTAGATCTTGCAGGCGGACGGGTTGCTCCATTGTATTTCGGACATCGATGATGATTCGCATGGAGGAGAGCGTACACGACGATACCCAGTGTCCAGTGCTTCGAACGGAAATTCTATCGTGTCGAAAGTAGCTTGGGGACGACGATGCCTTGAAGCTCGGCCGCAACTCCGTCGCTTGATGCAAGGCGATGGGAGGGGATCCACAGCCTATAGTGGTCCCAGTTGCAATTCGACAAATTTGGTCCAGCGGACTGTACACTCATCAAGCCCATCGAGCCAAATAGCTTTAGTTTCAAACCGGAGCTTTAGTTTCGGCTACAGAGCCCACATGCCGGATCCACTGCCGCATGCTGTAGAGAAGTTTCCAGAGCACATACATGTGGAAACTCACTGGCATGATGCGTCCGGTGATGTGAACAACCGCACCATATGACGAGAGGAACGTGATTGAGAAGATTGTGTTCCGGCTAGAACCGATTAAATCAGAAGTTCACGGATGCGATTGTGAGCAGCAAACCCACACGAAAACCGGAGTTTTGTTTTGACTCGAAAAATCCGAGTCAAAACAAAGAAACAGAACCATTCCGTGACCGGAAGACACAATAGATCCACTTTTATCGCTTTAATGTGGATCAGCGTTGTCACAGAGTTGTCACAGCGTTGAGGAGCAGTTTCTTCCAGATCAATCGGGAAATCCAAGATCAAGAACCTGGACATCCGAGAAGTTTCGACAATAGAGAGATTGCGATGGAAGAAACACATTAGACAGGAACAAACTTCGTTGAGACAGGTCGATCGTAAATGGAAATCGAGGCATTTGTCCACCATCAGCAAACACCAGGATATTTTTTATCACACATTGGGACAACGGAAATTAGGCGTTCACAGCAAAACTTGTAGTGCAGAAAGTTGCAATGCAAGTGCGGTCAATTCGACTCACCTCACCGAAAGTTGAAGACAGCGAGCTACCCGGAACTCAAGAGACGGAATCGAGGTTTACACGACAGAGACGTGGAGGTAGTAGTCTTCATAAACTCTACTTGGCGCTCGGAAGTTCTTGAGACTATGATAATTATATGAACAAGAAGGAACCATTACCAAGAGAATTCTTGCCTACAATTTCGGTACGTTTTGCCTCTAGGCAGGAAGTACAACGGAATAGCTCATGACCGGAGACATTTGGGAGAAACATGTAAGAGGCGGCCAGGCTGGTATTGGGCTTAGATAGTATATGGTGCCGATCCTTCATGTTTAATATTTCCTCAACCCTGCTACGCACTACTTATCTTGGTGACAACAGATCATCAAAAGAAAAACAAGCAAATACTTTATAGAAAACCTGAAAGAAAAATACGAGGCATAAGATATACTTGGAAAATCTCAAACGCAAGGAAAAACCACGGAATCCGCACCAGTCCACTGTGAATCGATCAAAGAGTATAAGTCTTGCAATCTATCGAGGTGCGTTTTCTCTTGCCTCTCTCTTTGTTTACTCTGAAAGCGTCTAACCCTAATTATTAACACACGGAGGTTTCTCAAAACTAGCATTTTAACATACTTGTACCTTGGGACTCTTGGCCCCTAACCCCCGGTATAAAACACTACTGAAGGTTTTCTGCACCCCAACAATCTCCCACTTGAAGATAACCAAAGCATCAGCAAACAAACCACTGCAAGCCCAAGTAATCTCAAAGAACGTGGACGTAGTCACCCGACCCTTTTTGGTGCGGCTCCAGGCCCATCATCTCTTCAAGCATGAAGACCAACTAAAGTCGAACACAACTTCAGTTTCTCAACAATAACAGACTTGGTCAACATAACTGCTGGATTTTCATCCCCCAAAATCTTCTGTAGCAACAAATCCCCATCCTCCAAAAGCGAACGAATGGAATGATGCCTTCAATCAATGTGTTTCGTCCTGTCATGGAACATTGGATTTTTGGCAAGGTGTATAGCACTCCGGCTATCACTGAAAAGAACGTTCTCTTGCTTCAAACCCAACTCCTCCAAAAAACCCTTCATCCAAATCATCTCCTTTGCAGCCTCAATCACGGCCACATACTCAGCTTTTGTCATGGATAATGTCACTAATTTTTGCAGATGTGAGATCCAACTCGCCGCTGTTGAATCCATAGTATAGACATAACCTGTGGTGCTTTGCCGCATAATCTAATCACCGGAAAATTCTCCATCCACATATCCCTTCACAGTCAACTTCCCTCTTCCAAAACAAAGTGGCAAATCAGCTATACCTCTCAAATGTCGCATGATCCACTTTACTGCTTCTCACTGCTGTTTCCCTGGATTGTTAGCAAACCTGCTCACAACTCCCATTGCATGGGCAATTTTTGATCTCGTGTTCACCATGGCATACATCAGACTATCAATGGCTGAGGTATACAAAACCTTCGCCATGTATTCTCTCTGTGCATTTGTCTTGGATGATAGCCCATGAGAAAGTTTGAAGTGACTTCCTAGGGGTGTGTTAACTGCCTTAGCACCATGCATATTGAACCTCTCTAGAACGCGTCTAATATATTCAGCCTGACTCAACGTCAAAGTCCCTTGAGCCATATTCCTGTTGATCCTCATCCCACGTATCTGCTTAGCTGCACCCAGATCTTTCATAGCAAACTCTCTTGCCAACTATTGCTTCAACCTGTTGATCTCCCTAACACAAGAATCCTCTACGAGCATATCATCTACGTAGAGTAATAAAATAATGTAGCTTCTCTCAAACCTCTTGAAGAAACAAGAGTGATCTCCATTGCACCTTGTGTAGCCACTACGTAACATGAAACCATCAAACTTTTTGTACCACTGTCTGGGAGCCTGTTTCAAACCATACAAACTCTTCTTGAGCCTGCATACCATCTCTTCCTTGCCTTTCACAATGAAGCCAATAGGTTGCTTCATGTAGATTTCTTCATCCAAGTCCCCGTGAAGAGAAGCAGTTTTAACATCTAACAGCTCAAGGTAGAGATTCTCTGCAGCAACTAAACACAACACCATTCTCATAGTCACAATCTTCACAACTGGCGAAAATATCTCTGTATAATCGATACACTCCTTTTGTTGGAAGCCCTTAACAACCAATCTTGCCTTGTACCTTTTCTTGCCATCACTCTCTTGCTTAAGCCGATAGATCCACTTGTTCTGCAAGGCTTTCTTTCCAGCGGGAAGTTGAGCTAACTGCCAAGTACCGTTAGAATGAAGAAAATTCATCTCTTCTTGCATCGTAGTCTTCCACTTAGCTGAATCAAGAACCTCCAAAACCTCATCAAAGCATTCTGGTTCTCCACTGTACCTTAAAAGCAAGTAATCAAGCGAAGAAATATATTTTGGATTTGGCTTGTGTGATCTGGCTGTCCCCCTTAGTTCTTTGACCGTTGAACTAGTCCCTGTTTCTGGAGCTAACCCATTTGAAACTGTTGCCTCTGAAACTTTCTCATCTAAAGCTCTCTCCTCTATCTCACTGAACCCCTGCTCAAACCTATTGTCATCTGGAAGATACTGCCGCTCAAAATATTCAGATGTATCTGTATCCAAATCAGTATCCTCAATGCTCCGTATGTTATTTTTGTCCTTGTACATCACCTTTTGATTGAACACAACGTCTCTGATTCTCATTACCTTCTTGTTCTTGTCATCCGAAAAATGATAACCCAACTCATCTCCGTCGTACCCAATAGAGGTGCATTTCTGTGACTTAGCATCAAGCTTATCCCTGTCATGATTGCTAATATGCACATAAGAAATACAACCTCAAAACCAGTAGATGTGACAGATTTAACTTTTTACCACTCCAAACCTCCTCTGGTATGCCAAAGTTTAACGGAACTGATGGCCCAAGATTGATCAAATATACTGCTGTACTAACTGCATCGTTTGGAAAGGACTCCATAGCTTTACGACATTGCAGACAGGATGAACATGACTTTGACGAAGCGTGCTGGGAGCATGCGGATACACGCAGGTTTGGCTAAGATGTTTTGGGCAGATGCAGATGCAGAAAGGCGGCAAACCACCCAGGGCTCAGAAGCTAGAGCTTGCCCTTACAAATTTTTGGGGTCCAGTTACAGTGCGTTCTCTTGGCGGTTCTTACTACTTTGTTACGTTTATCGATGATCATTTGAGAAAGGTATGGGTATACTTCACAAAGCAAAAGTCATAGGTCTTTGAAGTCTTCAAGAAGTGTAAAGCCATGGTTGAAAATGAAACAAACTTGAAGGTGAAACGGTTGAGATCCGACAATGGAGTCGAGTATGAGTTGGAGGAGTTCAAGAAATTCTTTGGCTTGAATGGGATTCGTTTGGAATGGGTTCCAGTATACCCATACCTTTCTCGAATGATGATTGATAAAGGTAACAAAGTAGTAAGAACCGCCGAGAGAACGCACTGTAGTTGGACCTCACAAATCTGTAAGGGCAAGCTCTAGCTTCTGAGCCCTGGGTGGTTTGCCGCCTTTCTGAAAACTTACCCGTTTTTGTTTTCTGAAGATACAATCCTCACAAATGTCAATATCCACTGACTCTAACTCTGGTAGTTTCCCAATTGCCTGCAAACCTTCATTCCCTTCTCACTCATATGCCCTAGTCTATTGTGCCACAAATTTGAACTCTCTATGTTGTCTAAAACTGCAAGTGTGTCGCTACGATGTGAAGTCAAGTAAAGTGTATCAACTTTCTTGACTTTAGCCGCCACCATGATACCGTTGGAGACTCTCCATGTGTCCCTTGTGAATGTTGATGTGTAACCTGCTGCTGCAAACTGTCCAACCGAAACAAAATTCCTCTTCAGATTCGGAACATGCCTGACATCTTTCAGACATCATGTGTACCCATGCGTTGCAATCTGAACATCTACTCTTCCCACAATACTACACGGCTTTTCATCGCCCAAGTATACTTTTTCAAAGTCCCATACTACATAGTTTGCAGAACATCCCTGTTAGCAGTGGCATGGAATGAAGCACCAGAATCAATCATCCATGATTTGGTGTTCATAGCAAGAATACATGTTCATGCATCGTGCACAACATGAGCCTCATGCCCATTATTACTACTCTTCAGTGCTTTGCAGGTTTCTCACATACCCTATTTGATCACAATTCCAACATTCGCCCTTTGATTTTGACATATTACTGTTATGATTTTGATACCGCCAAAATGTTGTTTGAACCCCTGGCATAGACAAGTTGAATAGTTTTTTCATAAGATGTACCTTATTTGTAATAGACGGTTGCTCGTACATCTCTTTCAACGCTTGCATAAGCCCCACCGTCGTTTTCTCCTTCAATATGTTATGGGTGACTGATTTGGAAAGGGACAGGCGAATTACTCCCAACGCCTTTCTATCCAAAACTTCTCAATCCTCATTGTACTCTCATGTTTTCTTCCCCTTCTCTTTACCCAACAACGGCCGGTAAAGATCCTTCTGATACAGATAGTCCTCTATATGCGTCTTCCAGAATGCGAAGTATGACCCGTCAAACTTCTCCATCTTCTGCTTGCCATCATCAAAACCCATAGCTTCCACGGAAACCCAAGCTTGTCCACAAGAGATTAAACCCTAACCTGTCGAACAAACTCTACCGCAATCAATAGCTCTGATATTAGTTCTCAACCCTGCTACGCCTACGGATCTTGGGAACAACAAATCACAAGCACCAAAACGAACCACAAGCAAATAGTTGATAGAAAAACCCGAAAGAAAAATACGAGGCACAAGATATAAGTGAAAAAACTCAAACGCAAGGAAAAACCACGGAAGCCCCATCAGTCCACTATGAATCGATCAAAGAGTACAGTCAAATTATAAAAACTGAACAAGAAAGCCGAAGTCTTCTCTCGTAATCTCTCTGAAATGCGTTTTCTCTTGCCTCTCTCTTTGTTTCCTCTAAAAGCGTCTAACCCTAATTATTAACACACGGAGGTTTCTCAAACTAACATTTTTGCTGCAGTCGGATATGCTACTAAAGTCTCACACACGAACTGCGGGACACAGGTGTCTTTGGGGGCTCCGCCCCCAAACCCCCGGTATAAGACACTATGCCGAAGATTGTGTGCACCCCAACACTTCCTCTTTCATTGCAAGACAGGTACCAGTTCTTGTCCACTGCAAGTCAACAACAAACTGGGAAGAAAGCAATCGATCACGTGTTACAACCAGCACTAAACAGGCCAAAAGACTGATAACGTCCATACGAAATTTTGCGCTATCGGATTGTGTTCAACCATTTTCAGGTCACAAGCGTGTAAGAGGCTAACTTGTTAAGCTATACGTGTAACATCAAACAATACGAGAATGTATTTATAATGAGAACCAAAAATACTTTGGTCAGCCCAAGTTTGCTTCTGATTCAAATACGAGAAAGACGCCTTCTGATTCATGGACTAGTTAATTTTCACCAAGGTTGCATTGTCTAATGATTAATCACAATCTAAATAGTTCTAATTTGAACCTTATCACTCGTCACAGGTTCTACTCTCCGCGCTATATTTGTAGATAGCAAAGTCAGTTCCAGTGTGAAAGGCTTTACCATCTATAACTCATATGAGGGTTCGTGCATGTGCCTTCCTACGTAAGCAGTGATAGTAAGAAATGCACAAGTTGAGATAAAGTACTGACCTCCGAAAAGTCCCCAAATTCGTGCCAGTACTAATTTACCAAGGTACAAGCTAGAGGCTGAATACATGTTCAATCATATTGCCACTCATATGCTGTTCAATGTATACGAGGTGTGATAGATAAGCCTCAGGTTGACATTCAGCCCGTATTACAGAGGTGGATATGTATGTCAATCCACAACGCGGGTTTGACCTCATATCGCGGTCGAAACATGCCGCGAAAGAAAATAAAAAACTTTGTCAATTTTGGACAGTTATGTCATTGTCCACATTATAGATGGTCAGTAATTCGATTATGAAAAAACTCGGTCATATGTCAAAAGACTACTTCTCCTCATCTCCTTGTCTGCTGTATCGTCTCTTCAACGTTTTATGCATGGGTGCTAACAATTGGCTTATGATGTTTACACGTGACAGTGTACACATTTTTTCTTCACAGATTTTTACCTTGCTTGCAGGATTCCAACTCAAATAGGTTTCTACAGTCTTTAGTATAATTCTAAAATAAATGTACATTGATAAGATGTCATGATTTGTACTTCGAGAATGACTTACATATACAATCATAATATTTTACGATAGAAATTTACCTGCTCACATGGACGGAGAGGAACTTAGATTCGTCTTCGATGGGATGAATCAGTTGGGAAATGTAAAGCAATGTCATGTGTATGGTACTGAAAAGGAACATGCATACACGCGCAATTTCAGTCGAGTAACTGAGGATAACGAGCACTTGCGAATGTCGTGAAACTTCCAGATTTTTAATTTTTTTATCACATAAGAGTAGAACAATCTATGCACTGAACGAGATAACACGTCCCCTTCCTACAGTGAGTATCTGGATTGCTCCCTGAATGAAATACGTACAGTCGGGTGAGGCGAACAAGCAGATATATTGACATTTCCTGGGGTCGAAGTCCCTCCTCACTCCAGACTTGGACCATAGTGAACAAAACTCAGATAAATCACGCTCACATCTTTGCGGGATCCGAGGCCACACGAGACGACTATATGTAGACGACAGATGGCCCTGATGGTGACCCGGAATCGTATAACTTGAAAACTCTGCACTTCAAAACGCTATCGAAAGAATGCACATCGTAGAGATCTCACGGGCCGAAGCAATCACGGAAATCCTCAAGTCTAGAGAGCAGCGGCCAAGACGAGGCCGGAGGTGGCAGCAGCCACGACGCCGAGGAGCGAGGGCAGGAGGCCGGCGGCGGCACCGGTGGGAGGCTTGGCGGCGTTGATGGCCTCGAGCGAGGTGGCGGCCTTCTCGATGGGGGCGACCAGCGCGTCGACGGTGCCGGAGTACGCCAACGTCTTGGTGGCATCGGAGACGAAGATGGAGCCGGCCGTGTTTTTGCCCTGGAAGAGGAGCGCGTTGAAGGCGGGGTCGTTGTTGGCGGCGTCGAGCACGGCCTGGAACTCCTGCACCTCGACGGCGGGCCAGTCGCTGGCGACGAAGATGGTGTGCGGCGGGGCGTTGCCGAAGTTGCAGTCGGCGTAGTTGGCCACGTCAGTGCAGAACGCCCCGTTCAACGGCGTCGGGCACAGGAGCGCGTAGTCGGAGGCCGGGCCCAACCCAGTCCACCCGGTCTGCGCGTACTGGCCGTTCGATGCGTAATCGATCGGGATGCTGTGCTTGGTGAAAGCGATGTCGCACGAGTCCTCGACCACGCCGCGGAATGCTCCCTCGTAGTCGTAGTAGATGTCCTCCTGCGTGCACCCGGTAGTGGTCTTGCAAGCCGAGCACACGGCCTTGGTCTGATCGTTCGACGCTGCGCAGGTCTTGGAGAAGAATGCCTTCACGGACTCGATGTCGTTCTGAGCGGGGCCTCTGCACGACACAATCAATCACGGCCACAATCAATCAATAACGGTCTGTCACATCTGACACGAGCAGAGTTGCAGTAAATCGATGGGTCCACGCAAAATATGCAAATCGATGCACATCTTACGATTGACAACTTACGATGTGACGACGGGAATGATTTTGCTGTCGACGAGGTACGTAATGGGGATGGTCCATCCTGCCGCTCTTCCGTATCCGCTGTGGCAAGTGCGCTTGCCCTTGAGGTCGTTGATGTTTCTGGGGCAGTTGTCCTTCTTCACCACACCAACCGAGAAGTATCTGTCGGTCGAGGTTCCGGTGATCTCAATGCGGATTGGCTTCAGGTTGTACGTGTTGCTCGCCTTGCGGATGTTTCCTCCGTCGAACACTCCGAATTTCGCGTCTCCATTGTTGATCTTCTTCATGCAGTCCTCGGCTCCATCCCCTACGATGCTGCACCATTTTCATGCACACTCACTCCAGTCAGCCTTTTGGTCACACCGTCGCAAAGGATATCCACCCTCCGAAATGGGACCCATATGCGTCACATTGACCTGCCTTTCATTCTATTCATTCATGAGCATTGCCTTTTGAATCCAACACTCATGGCTTTGGAATCCATGTGAGCGAACATGTTCGTCCCACGATTCGTTAAGATCAATGAAAACGAGAACACGATCGGTAGTCGCACTAGCTTACCAGGAGTACTTGTGGGCTGCTTCTGGGTCGAGGTCTGCCAAGATTGTGATCAATGATTGGCATGTAGGATTGTCGCCTTCGGTCGTCACACACCAACCCCAATCTGAAAGAGCGACGGATGCAATCTTAGAAATCTGACGTGATTGAAATGTAGCACTGCGGAATCCTTGTAGCTGGGATCGATGACCGGCCAGTAGTCTCAATTGGACAGAACACATCGAAGCAAGAAACAGAAATGGCATAAAAGATGATGTTGCGGTTCTGAGTCTGGAGGAGCAGAATGTAGAAGCTAAACAGACGGCATCAGATTCGCTAGGAGATGAAAGTGGCTGTAGATCCGCTAGGGGTCATGAGTCGTATGTCGTACCTTCATCTTCAGCTGAGACCGGTGGGGCAGTGGCATTTTGCGCTGCGGCACTCACGAACAGTGCAAACAACAAAACGCTGAGCAACGTACGACTCGCCATCTCCAAGACTGTGCAGATTCGCCTTGCAGCTGGTTTGCTGCAAAGAATCACGAGAAAGACAACACATCAGAGTCGGTCCTCGCGGCTCTGAAAACTGCAACATATTTACCTGCAGGCATTGGACCAGTTCCGAGCGCCTTTCGATGAACGAACATAGTCATGCGAGCATAGCGATGTCTATCTCCATTTCCAGATGATTGCAGGCCATTTCTATGAATTTCTAATAATTTCAAACCCGAGCAAGACCCGTGAATATACCAGACGCACAGTTCAGACAAAATTTCAAACAGGGCTCTAAGTTTTCGGGCTAATATTTCTACAATTTCTGCGGTGTACTTTCAAATCCTGGTCCGTACTTCCTGTTGTTGTATATCACGTTCTGTGCAATGCAGTCACAGTAACAGATTTACACCGCGCGGAATGGACAACTATCCTCAGAACACTAGTGCTGCTGCCCGTAGGCTCACCTAGAGAAGGTACCAGTCGAGGATGGGAGGACCCCTACGAAAAACGAATTGCACCTGTACTTTGTCGGATGAGTACGGATGGTACTCAAGTACAAGAGGTACAGCCGACAATGATGAGGAGAGTCAGCTCTGGGGTCTGGAATTGAAGACCGCGCAGCGCTTAATAAAGGATTCCTCAGAGGAGCTTTGCCTCCCCGGGGCCGCGAGATGCGCATCCTTCGTCACAGTAACTTGCATATTTTTAGCACAGCACCAGCTCGTCCCCCAGGGCTTGCTTCAACACAGTCAACTTCTCCATTGAACTTTGCACATCAGCCGCACGTCACTGGATCTGAACGCCGAACGATGATATTAACTCGGGGTAAAACAACAGCCGGTCGAAACGCCCTCATCCTTGACCAGTCGAGCTGTAATTAGACGGCCAGATCTGGACTGGGAGCTGGCATCTCGGCTGCAAACGCACTGATTCGAACAAAAACTTATCTACATTTAGATGCTCGTGGAGAACACAATTTGGTCAGCAATGGCAATTACCACCGGCGTCGTTCAACTTCCACTTCCCGATGCAAAACTGCGTCGGGGACCGAACAATCGATTCCACGATTCCAGCTCCAAGAAGTTTTGAACTTATTTTGGTCCTGGCTTTCACAAAGTTCACGAGTCCTTTCTTATCTGGTAATAAACTTCTTCTAAACTTCCAAGGAATTGATGTCTGAAATGTCAACGGAATTCTGTGATAATGTTAATGATTAATGATATTTGATGATGGGTCAACGGAATGGGCAGTAGCCTTTTATCTTATACGATCTGAAGCCATTTATCACTCGCAAGGACCTCTGCTGGGTAAGAAACTGGGACTTCAATCCGGTTGGGAAGCGGGGAGGCAAGAAGCCGACGAGAAGATGCAGCTGCCGGGAACTGGAGCGTTGCGCTGCTGCTGCGTGGTGTGCAGATTAGAATTCCCCTCCCCGTTGACCTCGGACGGTGACACGATCCCGCCTCCCTCTGGATCGGACGTCTGTGCGGCGTAAGCGCCCGCATTGCCCTGGGCTCACGTGGTATTTCGGTATTGGATAGAGCTGTGCCGACCGTGTGGGGCACACGCCTTGGTGGGACATGCTGCAGTTCGCCGGTGTGAGCCATGCCCGGACGCGAGCCCGCCGCATGTCTCGCAGGTCGCCGCGTGCCTTCGAGGTTTCAGATGTCATCATACGTGCCCCCGCCCTTCGCCTCTGACACCATCGGTAAAATCAAGCGCACAAGGAGCTGCGAGCAAATTCCCTTTGCTACTTCTCTCATCTCCGAATCCGACAGGTGACAAGAAATCGAGTGCGTGCGAGGAAACCTCAGCTTGATAATCAACTTTCTAAAGAATGCTTCATCCAAAGCAGATATCCTCTTATTGACATTCTGCCGACGTCCACCACGCTGGACGAGTCATTCTGAGTTTCGAAAGCTCAATCATAGTCAGTACTAAATTCAGAACTGAATTCAGAAGCAAGGAATTTCTTTTTCTTTTTTGAATACTAGAATTATGTTAAATAATGGGATGGATGCATGAACCAGCTTTTAAGAGAGATGAATCCTATAACATATTAAGTCTTGATTGCATAAGTCATGAAATTTGAATACTTCAATGTAATGAAACATAGTCAAATCTAACCCCCCAAAAAAATGTTTCTTTTTTGCATAGAATTTGATTCTAACTTGAAAACAAAGGCTTATTGCTCAATACCTCAAAAGCAGAGTTAATTGTTCATTTGATCATCATAAATAACTACAATTATTACTCGTATCATTATCTGAATTGTCAACACATGATGCTTTGTTGACACTCAAAATATGGGACTGTTTCGTTATCTATCTTCATATTGGACATAATTTTTCTTGGAGTTATTGGAGGTCAAACCTTGATATAAATTCTTGAGCTCATTGAATGTTCAAGAGTTATTTTTTAAAAGTGTGTATATACATAATTCATCAAAATTTTAATGATAAAAGATAACCTTTTCATTTGAAGTAAATTATTTGCAAAATAATTCTGCATATCTTCTTTCAATGATGAAGTTGGATGTATCAATTATGTTTTTCATCCTTAGTTGAAAAGAGACATAAGAATGTATCATTTTTATTTAATCCTAATATTAAATATTTTAAAAATATGAATAATTGATTCATATTTCTTTCAACACATATATTATTTTTAAGAAAATAATTCAACTAAATAGAATGTAATATGAATATCGTTAAAAATTTTAATTAAAAAATATCATAAAACTGGTGTAATATCATGATTAGATTGAGTGACTTTTATTTTGAAAAATTTGATACTTATCATACTTACATTGTATTACTGTAAAAACGTGAAAAATAATATATTAATTACAAAATATTGTACACAATAATGGTTGAAAGTAAAGTTAAAACAATCTATAATTGTGAAATGTACATAACATCAAGACATGAAAGATATGATTTTTGCAAAAGGAAAGTAAAATGCCTAAAGAAAATAATTTAGACGTTGAAAATTAAATAACAGAAAATTCCAGTTAACCAAATTAATCTCTATCAATATGATTAAAAAGACTAAGAAACTTGATATTTGAAAGATCAAATATCAAATCAATCTTTTCTTTCCTATGAAAAAATCATGTAAGTAAAGGTTACAAAATAAATAGAGCATGAAAGTTTTTAGAGATACATGTTATGATGAACGATAGGTGTTTATTTCAAATTTATGTTTCAAATATTATTGCACACACTCGCATGAGTTTGTTTTTTCATGGATAAGGTTTTGAAACGCTGTATAAGATTTGAAACACTTTATTAGAAAAATAGTTGATTTGTACAATCGATTCTATCTTATGGATTAGAATGAAGGTGACTTTTCCACAAAATTTTCAGACAATCAATATTCTTTAAATTGCAAGAATGAATATCAGATATTGGACAAAAAAATGAGACATTCATTAACACATTGAATATTATATGGACTTTGAATATCAATCAATTATATATGTGTGAATCAAATATGTACTTGTGGTAGTGTATCATCATAAAGATTTTCTAGAATATTATGCAAATGAAATTAATAACTTGATGAGGAACAACCATTAAGACAATTGTCACAGGTCTAGATGTAAAATATGCTTCGTAAAGTTGAATTTTTGTATGATTATAAATAATATAACTACATCTACAATCATTTTTAAAATAAAATGGAGGAGAAAAGTATAAATAAAATAAAAAAACAATGATTATTTTAAAATAAAAATTATGACCTTACTCATTTAAAATAATAATAATTTGAAGATAAAAAAGATACAACCCTCACAAATACATGACAAGAAACAATGAAAAAGTCATATTAATTATCACAAATGAGAATTTTATTTTAAATTATGCATCCTAACTTTTTTTCTTCAAAAAATTAAAATAAGTTGATGCATTATTTGAATTTCAAACTTACAAACACAATGAAATGTGAAATGATATTTTGGTATGTATGAAATAGAAATATAATATTAATAAAATAATTTTAATTTGATATGATGTCATATTATAGACATCATAGAGAAAATTCATCTAATGAATTAAAACCTATATGGAAAATAACTGAAAGTATGATTGAATCTACTCCAACAATATTGAATAAAATATAAAATTTTCATAGGTTTAATTTTTTTTTTATGTGATGTATCATAAACTATGAACTTTAGATGACATGTGATAAAAATAAAAATAAAAGCATATAATGTTTAGTTTATAATATAAATATTAAAGATAAATTGTGTCATTCTTACTAAAAATAAATATGATTTAAACACATCTATTTCATAAAATCCTAAACTCGTAAAGAAAAAATTCCTTCACTCAACCAAGGAAAAATATCTGATTTTGTGCGATAGTGCGGCTCCAATGGCGGGTTATAAAACACCAGCGGAGGCAGGTCAGTAGCGAAGATGGATCCGTGGGCACTCTCGCCTGGAGTGAACGAATGTTGAACGAGAACGGTGGCGATCGGACCACGACTCAGACAGATGATGGTGTGGCGAGCAGCAGACCGAAGTTGTCGCCGATCGGACGAGCCGGGCATACATCGGTCCGATCGGGATGCAGTGCTTGGTGAAAGCCACATCGCATGAAGCCTGCAACCACTCCTCGCAATGGTTGACGGTGTCGTTGCTTGACGCACTGGTCTGGGCCAAGAAGGCCCTCACGGAGGTCATGTCTATGGAAGAAGGATCGCTGCTCGCAACCGCACCAGATCCAGTGTATCCGCTACAGCATATGGTCTCTTAATCTCTTAATTGATTCTGAGCTCCAGCATCCTAGAGGCGTATGGGAAATGACATTTAAGGAGGCGTAGCAATTGTGCTTATCTGTGACGATCTGCAGCTCTTCCACAAAGGCGGTGGCATGAGTTCTTGCCCTTCTGGTCGTGCAAAGAGGTATTCTTGGACAGGGATTCCCTTTGACGATGCCGACTATGGAAGTTAGTGTGATCTCAAAATCGGAGTGGCTTCAGTTTGTAGGTCCCGCTCGCTTTGCGGACTTTACCTCCATCGAAGCACCCAACTTGGGCTCTTCAGGATTGACCCTCTTCATGTAGTCCTCCACTCAAAATTCAATGATGGTGTTCATCGCTGTGCCAACATCCTGATACATCGATACTGTCTGAACTGTGGAAGGCGAGAGCCTGTTCATTTCACAGCCAGATTTCCCATTCAGAAATTTAATATCCGGAATGATTTCTACAATCTAGTCAAGTCGGTTTGTAGCTTTTGAGATTGTACTCGTATATTAGCACGCAGAAACAGGTGCCTTTACATGCTCCTTCTAGTAAGCTGCATATGGATGCTGGGATCCAACTCAAAATGAGCGAGATACATGAATTTCATGTTTCCAAAGTTCGGACCATTTCATCACGACTGGTGGGCTTGTCGTCCGAAGAGGTTACACACCATTTCTAATAATTACGGTCGCAAATAAATTATGCAGTACAAGAGGTACCCAAACCAATCGTGGTCAGCCATAGTTGCTTCTTAGTGGAGCCGAATGGGTCCAACAGAACAGTCTCAGAACACAGCCATAAGTAAATCATTAGTGTAACACATCAATCCACCCATCCATCTTTCTTCGGCAAACACTGGAGAAGCAGTGGCATTTTGTGTTGAAGCTCCAACAAGAACTGCTATCTGCAGCAGTCCAATGACAAAGCGCACAACCATGAGTCCTTCTGCAGGACATAATCTGCCTCCCCCTGAGTCGGTCCCACCCGCAAGTTCGAGCCCAAGACAACACCTCTCCAGCGAGGCCTTTGACTCAGAGGAATCTGGTCTTCCAGGAGGACAATGCTTATAAAGGCTAGCCCAGTCAATAAGACAAATCGTGTTCCTTACTGGCACCATAATTTCGAGGCAATGGTTCGGGTGAGAAATAGGACGAGAGCTTCGTCCTATTTCAGCCCCAGATACAACTCATACATTGCGAACTATTGTTGTTTGGTCGAGAGACGACTTCAACCCTTTCGGTAAAAGCAATAACATCGACGTTGCCACCGCAAGGGCACGTCACTCAATCGGAGCGCCGGGCAAATCATAAGTCCAGATTATTGTGGAGCCTTTCTCAAACTCATTCATCCAGTCCACCAATATGAGAATAGATTATATTGTCCTTACTATCCGACCGTACTGCGGTTTGTCACTCTGACGTCTTAGCTAACGAAAGTTGCAACTTTTCCTCAACTTATCCTTACCTTGGCCCGCGTTCCTAATGTTTTTTCCGGAATCAAACACAACTGCGAGTGGCTTCCGCCTGTTGACTTAGGCGAAGATGGAAAAGCTTAGCTGCCCCGAATGGTTTCCTGTGTCAGACACAAGGATCCGAGTTTAATACCAGGTCCCCGTGCTGTGTTTGTACTCGCCGTTCGTGTCGGGCACGCGCCTTGAGAGGCATGCAGGCTGATGCTGCAGCTGAGCATGCTCCGACAGTACGCCGTCGCGTGTGCTCTCCAATCTCGCATTGGAGATAAGCTCGTGGACCTACTCTGCCGTGCTCTTGCCGGCCGGACATTGAAAGAGGCTGAGTTCAAAGCACACACAGGAGACTTTTAATGCCGTATTTCCAGCCTCAAGGTGATCAAATTTCTCGTCGCTGTGGTCATGTACAGGGCAATTGCGGACTGCGTTGGTGGCGATTATGACCGCAATGTGTTCACTGCTGTTTATGGTTTCCGGCCGACTACTAATAAAAGATAAGCGTTCAATTGTGATTATCATCGATGAGCAAGTGAAAAACTGAATCCACGTACGAGGTGGAGAGTCCTCTAGATGTGACGATGATGCTCTTCCCTCAAATTTTCGAATCCTGCAATTTCTTTCCGCAGCTCATGTCTCTGCAAGCGGATCTAAATTAGGGAGTTACACCAATCATTCATTTAAGATTGTTCAGAGCTATGCCCAGAATCCATACTGGTGCAGTGTAGAGCAGCCGTACAAAACATACTTCAGCCATCATCGTTTTCAGATAGCACTCGTGCCCTCATAAACACGATACTCCTCCCCCGTCAAAGTATTATCTTACACTGTGCAACAACAATTCCAATATAACCAAAGCTCGCGAAATTTTTTTAGGAAGAATCATACGTTATAAATGTAGTGAGAAATGTTCACCCATTCATGAAACGCGGAATTGTATTACACGGTGTTCTGTGGAACTCCAACAAAAGTCTGAACAACAAAAGTGAAAAGAAAGGCCTGAAAATCGTATTCGAAGATGGTAACAGCGGAACTTTACAATTCCAGAAATCCTAACTTCTGCCTGGGTGTTTTGGTATTGTTTCTATATGCACATACAGATAATTGTAAAGAATGATGCAGACGTGCAATTCGCTTTCGGGTCCTTGTTTGGACTTGTGACAGTATTCCACAAGCCAGCCTATATCACATCTTTGCGGGATCCGAGCCCACACGAGACGACTATATGTAGACGACAGATGGCCCTGATGGTCACCCGGAATCGTAAAATTAGAAAACTCTGCACTTCAAAACGCTGTCGAAAGAATGCATATAATGATTTTAGTGTATACACACTAAAATCACTACACTCATATAGAAGAGATCTCACGGGCCGAAGCAATCACGGAAATCCTCATGTCTAGAGAGCAGCGGCCAAGACGAGGCCGGAGGTGGCAGCAGCCACGACGCCGAGGAGCGAGGGCAGGAGGCCGGCGGCGGCACCGGCGGGAGGCTTGGCGGCGTTGATGGCCTCGAGCGAGGTGGCGGCCTTCTCGATGGGGGCGACCAGCGCGTCGACGGTGCCGGAGTACGCCAACGTCTTGGTGGCATCGGAGACGAAGATGGAGCCGGCCGTGTTTTTGCCCTGGAAGAGGAGCGCGTTGAAGGCGGGGTCGTTGTTGGCGGCGTCGAGCACGGCCTGGAACTCCTGCACCTCGACGGCGGGCCAGTCGCTGGCGACGAAGATGGTGTGCGGCGGGGCGTTGCCGAAGTTGCAGTCGGCGTAGTTGGCCACGTCAGTGCAGAACGCCCCGTTCAACGGCGTCGGGCACAGGAGCGCGTAGTCGGAGGCCGGGCCCAACCCAGTCCACCCGGTCTGCGCGTACTGGCCGTTAGATGCGTAATCGATCGGGATGCTGTGCTTGGTGAAGGCGATGTCGCACGAGTCCTCGACCACGCCGCGGAACGCTCCCTCGTAGTCGTAGTAGATGTCCTCCTGCGTGCACCCGGTAGTGGTCTTGCAAGCCGAGCACACGGCCTTGGTCTGATCGTTCGACGCTGCGCAGGTCTTGGAGAAGAATGCCTTCACGGACTCGATGTCGTTCTGAGCGGGGCCTCTGCACGACACAATCAATCAATAATGGTCTGTCACATCTGACACGAGCAGAGCTGCAGTAAATCGATGGGTCCACGAAAAATATGCAAATCGATGCACATTCTTACGATTGACAACTTACGATGTGACGACGGGAATGATTTTGCTGTCGACGAGGTACGTGATGGGGATGGTCCATCCTGCCGCTCTTCCGTATCCGCTGTGGCAAGTGCGCTTGCCCTTGAGGTCGTTGATGTTTCTGGGGCAGTTGTCCTTCTTCACCACACCAACCGAGAAGTATCTGTCGGTCGAGGTTCCGGTGATCTCAATGCGGATTGGCTTCAGGTTGTACGTGTTGCTCGCCTTGCGGATGTTTCCTCCGTCGAACACTCCGAATTTCGCGTCTCCATTGTTGATCTTCTTCATGCAGTCCTCGGCTCCATCCCCTACGATGCTGCACCATTTTCATGCATACTCACTCCAGTCAGCCTTTTGGTCACACCGTCGCAAAGGATATCCACCCTCCGAAATGGGACCCATATGCGTCACATTGACCTGCCTTTCATTCTATTCATTCATGTCATTCATGAGCATTGCCTTTTGAATCCAACACTCATGGCTTTGGAATCCATGCGAGTGAACGTGTTCGTCCCACGATTCGTTAAGATCACTGAAACGAGAACACGATCGGGAGTCGCACTAGCTTACCAGGAGTACTTGTGGGTTGCTTCTGGGTCGAGGTCTGCCAAGATTGTGATCAATGATTGGCATGTAGGATTGTCGCCTTCGGTCGTCACACACCAACCCCAATCTGGAAGAGCAACGGATGTAATCTTAGAAATCTGACGTGATTGAAATGTAGCACTGCGGAATCCTTCTAGCTGGGATCGATGATCGGCCAGTTGTCTCGATTGGACAGAACAAGTCGAAGCAAGAAGAAGAAATGGGATAAAATATGATATAGGGGTTCTGATTCTGGAGGAGCAGAATGTAGAAGCTAAACAGACGGCATCAGATTCACTTGGAGATGAAGGTGGCTGTAAATCCGCTAGGGGTCATGAGTCGTATGTCGTACCTTCATCTTCAGCTGAGACCGGAGGGTCAGTGGCATTTTGCGCTGCGGCACTCACGAACAGTGCAAACAACAAAACGCTGAGCAACGTACGACTCGCCATCTCCAAGACTGTGCAGATTCGCCTTGCAGCTGGTTTGCTGCAAAGAATCACGAGAAAGACAACACATCAGGGTCGGTCTTCGCGGCTCAGAAAACTGCAACATATTTACTTGCAGGCATTGGACCACTTCGGAGCGCCTTTCGAAAAACGAACATCGTGTGAGCATACCGATGTCTATCTCCATTTCCAGATGATTGCAGGCCATTACTATGAATAATTTCAAACCCGAGCTAGACCCGTGAACGTACCAGACGCACAGTTCAGACCAAATTCCAAACAGGGCTGTAAGTCTTCAGATTAACATTTCTACAATTTCTGCGTAGTACTTTCAAATCCTGGTCCGTACTTCCTGTTGTTGTATCTCACGTTCTGTGCAATGCAGTCACCGTAACAGATTCACACCGCGCGGAATGGACGACAATCCTCAGAACACTAGTGCTGCTGCCCGTAGGCTCACCTAGAGAAGGTACCAGTCGAGGATGGAGGACCCCTACGAAAAACGAGTTGCACCTGTACTTTGTCGGATGAGTACGGATGGTACTCAAGTACAGGAGGTACAGCCGACAATGATGAGGAAAGTCAGCTCTGGGGTCTGGGATTGAAGACCGCGCAGCGCTTAATAAAGGATTCCTCAGAGGAGCTTTGCCTCCCCGGGGCCGCGAGATGCGCATCCTTCGTCACAGTAACTTGCATATTTTTAGCACAGCACCAGCTCGTCCCCCAGGGCTTGCTTCAACACAGTCAACTTCTCCATTGAACTTTGCACATCAGCCGCACGTCACTGGATCTGAACGCCGAACGATGATATTAACTCGGGGTAAAACAACAGCCGGTCGAAACGCCCTCATCCTTGACCAGTCGAGCTGTAATTAGACGGCCAGATCTGGACTGGGAGCTGGCATCTCGGCTGCAAACGAACTGATTCGAACAAAAAATTATCTACATTTAGATGCTCGTGGAGAACACAATTTGGTCAGCAATGGCAATTACCACCGGCGTCGTTCAACTTCCACTTCCCGATGCAAAACTGCGTCTGGGACCGAACAATCGATTCCACGATTCCAGCTCCAAGAAGTTTTGAACTTATTTTGGTCCTGGCTTTCACAAAGTTCACGAGTCCTCTCTTATCTAGTAATAAACTTCTTCTAAACTTCAAGTAATTGAGGTCTGTAATGTCAACGGAATTCTGTGATAATGTTAATGATTAATGATATTTGATGATGGGTCAACGGAATGGGCAGTAGCCTTTTATCTTATACGATCTGAAGCCATTTATCACTCGCAAGGACCTCTGCTGGGTAAGAAACTGGGACTTCAATCCGGTTGGGAAGCGGGGAGGCAAGAAGCCGACGAGAAGATGCAGCTGCCGGGAACTGGAGGCGTTGCGCTGCTGCGTGGTGTGCAGATTAGAATCCCCCTCCCCGTTGACTTCGGACGGTGACTCGATCCCGCCTCCCCCTGGATGGGACGCCTGTGCGGCGTAAGCGCCCGCATTGCCCTGGGCTCACGTGGTATCTCGGTATTGGATAGAGCTGTGCCGACCGTGTGGGCCACACGCCTTGGTGGGACATGCTGCAGTTCGCCGGTGTGAGCCATGCCCGGACGCGAGCCCGCCGCATGTCTCGCAGGTCGCCGCGTGCCTTCGAGGTTTCAGATGTCATCATACGTGCCCCCGCCCTTCGCCTCTGACACCGTCGGGAAAATCAAGCGCACAATGAGCTGCGAGCAAATTCCCTTTGAGATCTCGCTACTTCCCTCATCTCTGAATCGGACATGTGACAAGAAATCGAGTGCGTGCGAGGAACCCTCAGCCTGATTATCAACTTTCTAAATAATGAATCATTCAAAGCAGATATCTGCGGAGGTCCACCACGCTGGACGAGTCATTCTAAGTTTCGAAGGCTCAATCATTGTCAGTAGTTCTAAATTCAGAACTGAATTCAGAAGCAAGGATTCTTTTTTCTTTTTTCTTTTCCGGCATGCTTCGATCTTGAGCTTGGTGGAAACACATGCACTGGCACTGAGGTTCCAGGTCCTGAGACTGTGAACCCACAGATCATTCCTCTTTTCGATGGTAGAGGCTCTAGGATGCAACTCATTGAGTGTAATTGTGTCTTGATTGAATTGAACTGAATTTACTCCTGTACAGAGTTCTAAGGTAGTCTTTGAGGGCAAGTTCTAGATTGTAACAACCACGTTAAAGAACCTCACACCGAAAAAGCAGGATACGAAATTAATTTTTTCCAGTCATATCATGGGAGTGCGCATCGAGTGTTAAAGGCTTGGTAAATCAGAAGTTGTTTGCTGTAACTTGAAAGATTGCATGAACGTGATAGGTTACTTGTGTGATAGGTTACTCGTGTTGAACTTGCCTTCTAGAGAACTTTACAAATTCCTTCTTTCTGTACAAGCTACAATCAGTACGTACCACAGTTTTAGTGAGTGTTCGAGCCTTCTAGGTCTTCGGATAAAAAAACCCAGATCCAGTGATCTTTAACAGGATTATATTTTCTACACCTACGCTGGACACGGTCCCATGTGACTATCCACATGTTTCAGCAAATACGGTTAACATTACAAGACTTATCTGCAAAGGGTCATGATAGTAAAAAGTTGATAGAGTTTGGAAATCTTCTTGCGCCTCGTCATGTGACATCAAATATACAGTCGATTCCGTTTAGCCGAGAAGCATTTGTACAATCCTATTGACATCTGAAACATAGTAGTTTTTGTTTCAACTTTTCAGAGTTTACAAAGCTATCACTGTATACAAGTCCTGAACCTGATCCATAGCTCATGCAAGAAAACTAAGTGCTGATAGGGAGCTTTGAGCTGCGTGCGTCTTTCCTTTTTGTCTTCTAAGAATACGTCGCTTATATCAGATGCTGGCACAACTGAAATATTAACGTACTTTTGTGAATTCTCAATTCTTCGTAGAGCAGTGAAACTTTTCAGCTTAGCATTTGTTATACATAATCATAACCTTGTGTTTGAAGCAGTATACACATTAAACTCAAGCTTCCTATCTGGCACACTTGAAACGAGCCTGCTATCACAAACTGAGCGTCAGTAGTGTACTGCTGCCGCTTCTAACATCTCCACATGAACTTCAAAAATAGCATTCATAACATGGTGAAGACAGATATAAGTATGAGAACACCATAGAACGTGAAAATACTACAGCCATTAGTCAGAAATCTGCGTGATATCAATTTCTTTTCTCAATATTCTTTTCTTTTGTAGATCTGTTTAACAATGATTTTTTAATACACTCTTATGCTTTTCTGTTCTGTTCAGGTGTTGATAAATGGTCATGGCTTCACACGAAGCTTGTGTCAATGTGTCATGATTTCAATAAAGACACTGAAGCATGTAGGAATAAACGGAATACAATCTATAACAAATACAAAGAAGACAAGGCTATGAATATGAAGTCAGTATTGCAATGATCGGAGAAATGCCGATGGTATCTCTTGGTGGATGAGTTTATGTTTAACAGGGAAAATGTTGTTTCACATGCCCATGCCAGTGTTATGAACGGAGATGAAGTGAACTGCAGCGTCACTTCGGAGTCAAATACAACGGAGTAAAAAAGCGAGGAGAGTTCATCAAAATGACCGGAGCCTAAGCGAAAAGAGGATTTGTTTTTGGAAAGATGTCTTGGAGAGCTTAAAGAGATTAGTAAGATTTTACTAGATAGTCTGAAGATCAATGATGATATAAAAATGGCTTTACTAATGAGTATGCAAAAAACCATGGAGAAATTAGTTAATGAACTCTAGGTGGAGATGAATTCTAGGTGAACAAGATTTACTACAAGAGTTCAAAGAAGTGCACTTTAGTTTATTATCTTTGTCCTCACGTCATGAAGTGATGAAGTCACACACCTATTCTTCAATGTGATCTTCATACTGGTAAATTGCAGATGTTTTTTTGAGCTTTTTTCAGACCCTTCGAGTTCTTTTTGTTGCTTTTTTAAGTACTGAAGTTGGCTGTTTTATTCAGCACTTTTGAGCACAGATATGATATGTTCCGGATTTTGTTCATTTGGGTTTCTCGCTAGTATTGCTGATGAGAGCGTCAATATATTTTTTAACCCTTGATCTCAAATGATGAGCTCATTCCATTATAAGGTTCTAAGTCTGAAGGTCTCAGTTCTTAGTCCATGAGTCTAATTAAATTTCAACTGTTCATGTTTAAAGGATCTATATTGAGAAGTTTTCTGTTTCTTCTATGTTTCAGGGAGACAATACTGAAGTACTATATAGGTACTGAATAACTAGTTCTTAGCTAGTTCGATGCGTGCAATAGTGACTGAAAAGCATTTCTATCAAGAGAGTAAAGAGGCATTCAAAATCGTGGGATTCTTGTGTGATTTACATGCGCGATCTGGAGTTGTAGGCTCAAAATTTGTGCAATCTTCTTGTCAAAGATATCGTGACATTATCTCTGCTTTCTTTTGTCTAGTTTAGTGAAGATAGTCAATGATCTTATGCATGCGGTATGAAATCTGTGGTGCTCATCGGAGAATTATCTCTAGTATGTCTTCATCACATCACAACCCATTTACATGTACACTTTGCTGACAATCATTTACAAAATGGTTAGGCATACGGAAGCGCAATACCTCAAAAGAGGAAGAAAATAAGTCGGAAGAGGATAGTTGTATTTATACAATACTACAATTTTGTAGAGATATAGATCTTTATGTTTCGCGCTAGTGCATTCTCGCTCCATTATATCCTGGAGTGAAAGGGATCCATTGAAAGCTTAACCAAAAGAGTCTATGTCATATTAGGCTCCGTTGGAGGTGTACCTGGCCTTTTGAGCCAGATTAGCTAGAAAGGATTACTTTTTTAGAATCAGCTGGTTGATTTCCAGTCAAATCTGTAGGAAGCCATATGTAAATTTTCATGATGACTACAAATAACATTCAGATATTTTCTTCACCTTGTCTTTGCATTCTGCAGTATGAGTGAACTTTGAGTGTTCAAGCATTAGCAAGATGAAGACCACTTGAGATCTATGAAGTTCTCTAGAGTACAGTGCTACTAACTCTCGTCTAATATCCATCCTCAACCTAGACATCATTGTTTGTAAATTTAACAGAACAGAAGTTTTTAGTATTTTCTACGTGCGACAAATATAGGTTTAAGGAACCATCTAGCCAGCATCATCCTTGAAATAAAAACAGAGGGTGTGTATATATTGGGTCCCAATACCACGGAACATTGCACTCAAATATGTAAGGCCACAAGTCTAACTAGTTCACTGAGAACCTTACTACTTGCTAGCTTCAGAAAATGCACAAAACAGCAAATACTAGGCTAGCCTAGTTGACGTTCATGGAATATGTTTCTGTCACACACTCCTATTGTAGCCATTCACAAACTTTTGGCAATGCCATTCCGCCTTGGAGACAACTCTTTTGCACTTTTACCTCTAGTTGTCATTGAAATTGGAATTCTCTTGTGATCTCTTGTTTGAAGTACTCCAATCTTTCTCGAGAGTTATCTTCAATTCCAGCAAGGCTATGTCACGCATGGTTAACCACCACAAGCTTTTCTTGTCTTGCAGGCCCCGAAGGT